ATCCCTAAAAAAAATAATTATTTTATTATAAAATATCGAAACTTTATAAATTTAAATAAAAAAATTATTTAAATAATTACATCTGTCAGAATTTTCAGTCAATGAATATTGGTCAAATTTATCGAAACGAGGTACACATTATTCGTCAGAACTGCAATCTAAGGGTTATTATTTCAAAATTTGATATTACTAAACACAGCGAAAGAAGGTGTAAGGTACATAGTTTAAATATTCTTACTTGAGTAGATCACGTGTGGTACTTTGACATGTTTCTATAAAGATCAATCCACGTTGGTTGTAACATAATACACGTTGTACATTATGTAGAATTTTTTCAACAAAACCTCATGTAGTATTTTTTTGTGAAACATTTATCCCAGTAAATAAATACATATCATAAACCTTTTTGGACAGCATAGGTATACGTTGGACTGAAGGATGCGAGAAATGAAGCACTTGAAAATTGTACAATGTACCTGTCTACCATCTTTGATTGGTTAAAGTTGTTTTTATCATAATCGTGTACATAACCTAAAATCAAATGTAAGCACAGACAATGTGTTAAGAAGATCCACATCTTATAGACATTTGTATTATCCTTGGTAATCTATATTACCAACGTAGCAGTCCAAAATTACTGAATTAGGAAACGTGAACATCAAAGATGTCGACGCGAGTTTCGTTTCTAGTATAATAATCTTTGCCCAAAGTATTATAACCTATAAACCGGAGAAATAATAAACACATCTTTAAAACATGGTTATTCTGACTAGATTTCTATCTTATAAAATATGGCAAAATGTATATCGTTTACAGTTGTTAAGTACGTTTTATTATATACGCTAACATTATTGTTGGTTCTTATGAAAAACAAGTTTATTTATATAAATATGATTCAAAGGTTTACTAATATTTTTTTACACCGACAATTAACGAGTTACATTTACTTTGTTGGCTTTATTTAACGTTTTTATGATTAATTTGTATATCAAAATTATCTTACTATTTTCAGATCAAGAAAGAAGAGCGTTTTCATCTATCTCGCAAACATTAGACCAAGAAAAAGAACCTGAAAACAATTTTCAAAAGAAGAACGACAAAAATCCATCTGATACAACATATGAAAATCATAGATTTGTTTATCCAGAATTCTTACCTGACCCAAACTTACTATACCGTAATAATGTGAGAGAAAAATTAGAACGTCTTGATATGCTGGCTAGAAGATCTGTCATCAGTATTCCTGAATTTTATGTTGGCTCTATATTAGCTGTAACATATTCTGATCCACATGCAAATGGAAAAGTAAACAGATTTGTTGGCATATGCATAATGCGAGAAGGTTGTGGATTAAGAGCTACATTTCTCTTGAGAAATGTTGTGGATGGTGAACCTATAGAAGTACTGTATGGATTATATGATCCAGCTATCCAGAAAATTGATTGTTTAAGGTAGTGTTTAATTATTTTATTCATGTTTCTTTATCAAGTTATTGCAATAAGATGTGTATAGAATTCATTGAACATTTTCAATATTTACAGATTGGAGAAAAGATTGGATAATAAACTACTTTACCTTAGAGACGCACCAGAAGAATATAGTACATTTCCATTTAATATGGAACATGAACTGTTATCTCAAGGAGCAGCAGTTCCAGTTAATGAAATTAAAATTCCTCTTAAAGATAAGAAATGGTTAGAGAAATGGGAACGACAAGATTTGAAAGGTGTGGTAGACTTAATGCCATATGTTAATGATAAACGTAGAAGGAAAGCACGAGCTGCTGCTAAACCATGGGAGAAATTTGATTTAATGAAAATTTACAGGTAAAAATTTCTGTACAGAAATGTACATTAATTTACATATAGAAGCGTTACATATTCATACACTTTTTTTTTATTGTATTGTTTTAGAGCGACCATTCCACAAGAAGAGCAAGAAGAAATATTTTCTGAATTACAGATTGAACTCGGTCAATTAGAGGTAAAAAAGAATATATTGAAACGTAAGCGTACATTTTCAAGACCAAAGAAGAGTGTATAATTCTGTTTATATTGTTAATAAAAGTTTAATCGTGTAGCACAATTGGTATTTATTATAGTTAAGATTTATGTCCACACGTGGCACTATCATGGAATATTCATTTGTTCATAAATTTTTTTATTTCATTAGGAAGTGAAAAATATACAATAGAAATTATAAAATTTCAATGATTACACATCATTCTTTGAACATTCTTGTTTGTTTCATGTGGAAACGATTACTTTTTGTGTGTTACATGAACCGAATTAACAGAGAGAAGATTAAATGTACGAACATGAAATTAACTAGTCAGTAATGCCACATTAATTTCTTTAACCATCTTAATGCGATAGAGCATTTTTATGAGATGTTCCTTAGCCAATGGAGATGTTGAGTACCATACTGGACTGTCCGGTACACAACTTCTTTCAGGTAATAAATAGAATACATCGTTACGAGTTTTCACGCTCTCTGGGCTATAATTGTAACAAACAAGAACAAAATTACTTACAGATTATTTCAGGAACATTTATCTCTAATAACAAAACTAACTTACCACTTGGATAAGTAAAATTCGTATAATTTTACTGGACATCTCAATGGATTTTCTTCATTTTCTTGTTGTTCATATACTTTCTTTTTACGTGAATTGCCTTCTAGAAGAAAGAATCATAAATTTCTAATATTCTCAGACATCCAATACGATAACTATGATGTCCAGTACTAACCCAATGCAGATTGCGGTGGATAAAAACGAAGAAGAACGTTTCTCGATCCTGGAACTTTTCCTGTTGCAGCAGCAGGTTGTGCAGCAGGATTACGTTTCCAATGTTTCATAATATGAGAAAATGACAACTGCATATGCTCTTCTACTGTCTAAAAGATTTGATTAAAATTTTTAATGCAGATTTTAGTTTTAAAGACTACTAGAAATTTTATGATTTCTGTACAATTATGTAATACAAGGAATCACGTACGTACCACGAGGTTAAAATGTTTCGTATTAAAAAACATAAGAGTACTTAAGAGAACATGGGGCGAGTGAGCACCTAATTGTTTGCATTCCCATAAATGTTCTTCTTCGACTCTCGTAACAATATATTCTAAGAGGAAAAATTTAACGTTCGTTAGAAATAATTCCTTTCAAAACTGATATAAAAAAGATTAATTGAATGTCTTACGTGCATCATTATAAAGAACAGAGAATTTCTTCGCCACTTCATTTAAACAGTCCGTAAACTTTTCATAATATGCATCCGTAAAAATGTTATCTATTCTATTATTTTCAAACAAATACTGCTGTATTCCTGCAACAGAAAATTAAGCTGTTTTATAAAACAAGAACTGTTTCATACACTTCAGACATACTTGTTCAGAATATGTACCTAAGCAAAGGTAATATATTGTATCTGGAGCATATTCCGTGCCATTTGGTTTTCTAACTTCTTTTACGAATAGACACAGCGAATAATTTAATTCATCTGCTGTGAGTTGCAAGAGATCCGTTTTAAACAATTTCATTTTTCTCATAGGTGTACTTTGTTTCTCTAATTCGGCATTCTTTGCGATTACCTGTTAATTATATTACTTATTTCTCATATCTGTTTCCAGAAGGAACAAATGTCAATTTCATTCAAATTACCCATTGTCTCCACGCATTTACTCCAAATGTATATTTCAGGGCCATGTTGGCATCTGGTTTCTCCATAGGTTCTATAATTCTTGGTTGAGGCGGTGGTTGAGATTCGGGAGGTGGCATCAAAGGCATATCGTTCGTTGTAGATACACGCCTCCCTCGCTTATTCGGAGTAGACCTTGGTTTGTACGGAACCATTCGTTTCCTTCCACGAGAACTAACCATTAGTCGTTCGGATTGGACTATAAATGTACCAAAGATAAAATAAATTTTTATGATCTTTCCTAAAAAACACTATCCATCAAATTTCAACCATTTTTTACCATCAGTTTCCATACTGGTCTCAGATTGTGCTGATGTTTGTGTAGCCGTGATTGTATTTGGAGTTAAAGCAGCTTCTAAATCAACAGCGGGTTCGTCCAGTTCACCAGTTGCCATTTTTAGAGCCATTTGTAACATATCATCGCCAAATGTATTACTAGAATCCACTCCTTCTGGACTAAAACCTCCGCTGTGTGATTGATCACGATCACCAGCCTCTTCATCCCTGAAACAAAAAAGCTAATCATCGTTTCCTACCACAGCATTAATTGAAAGTACATCAATATACCTATCGTCGGCAGAATCTGAGTCACTTTCATTGGTTTTCTTTTCCGTTGCAACCATCTCTGCCATCAGCAAGAGTTCAGCTTCGAATGGATCTGCTGGTATTTTCTCTTGTATTCTTTTAATGTCTTTAAATATCCCTTTAGCGCTATTTTTTGTCGTAGGTATAAAAATAGGAACAGGAATTGGTAACGGGAATGGACACGGGACCGGGAAAGGCATACTATACATATGCATTGGAAATGGAACATAAATTGGTACTGGTATCGGAATAACTGCCTGGTTGACTCCATCCGTTTGCGTGGCCTTTGTACAAGGATGCGGACGCACGGAAACTCCTTTTGTATGCATCAGTGGTTTGCACTGAGTGTTTTTATTGTGGACTTGAGTCGGACTCGGTGGCCTCGTTATTATATGTTGCTTATATATCACTTGAGATGCCTGATTCTGGCTGATAGCAACCGAAGGTATTACCATATTATTTACATTATTTTGTTGCGTTGTTGGACTGGCTTGTCCATTTGCTATCGCGGCTAGACTCGTCACAGATGAAATCACTGGCATATTCTTTTTGTTCTGCATGTCATTGGTTTTTTGATTATTCGAGCTCGCGTTCCTCTGAGGTAACGTTCTTTTAGGCATACCGGTAGGCACAGGGTCATCACTCGTTGGTATCGTTATCGGCGATTTTGTATATTGAGCTTGAAAGTTCATCACGCAATTGTACGAACAAAAGTTTCGTATCGTCGCGTCCGACATCGTTAAATGATACTGTGCTTGAGAGAATTCTCGACAGAAATCACAGTTTATCCTCTTCGCTGAAACCGCATTGATCGAAACCTATATAAATTCGAAACATTTAAGATCAGATTTAATTTTCAATGATTCGAATTGGTAATAGGTAATGCAACATACCTGATATAAAGTTAAACAGTTTAGGCTGCACATCATCATCACTTGTCCCGTTTTCAACTCCTTTTTAATCATGTCGAAATTATATTTTTTTACTTTACACCAATTGCATGGAACAATCTTTCTGTTTGTAATAATAAATATATTTAAACAGGTTTTTGAACAAAATGTGTGAGCCTCTTTCTCATAAAATACGACAGAACTCTTTTTGTTAGGCATTTCAAAGAATTTTTTACAAGTGGAACATTGATCAGGATCGACTTTTTTTACAAATTTGAATGCTGCGAAACAAGGCTCACTACAGATAGTTACTGGACCAGATCTATCTATTTGGACCTCGCAGTGAACAACTTTTTCCTGTTGCAAGAAACATTATTTTAATGTACAATCAATTGTTGAATTATCAAGTACGATAATTATGAACAAAAAATATTTCCTTACTTCTTGGCAAACACTGCAACATTTTTTTTCCAGGACTGGTGGTTCTACAGAACTCATTTTTGAATATTTCTCCATACAATCTTGTGTACAAAAATCTTTAAATTGCCCTTTATCGCCGACTGGTGCAAGAAACCCTTCGGTACTGGAACTTATATCCTTCTGACAATATGTGCATACTTTTAATCCTTTCTTAAATTCTTCCAAACAAGTGGAACAACAAAATTGTCTAACGTCGTAACCAAATCGTACGCAATATTTGCCTAAACTTACTGCCTGCACCGATCCGTTACAATTTCGACAATAACTTCCGTATTTTGTTTGAAATTTCCCTAAACACTCTTCGTTACAAAATTCCATTGTCTCCCAAGAGAGATTACGTTCGTCACCGAGTTCGACAATCAGTAAACAGTTTGCACAACGTTTGTCTCTTTTGGAATTAACTCCGTCACTGGGAATATCTACAGCTCTATTATTGGCAGCTTTGAATAAAGCTTTACAAGTTTTCGAACAAACGTGAAACGTATCAAAACCAATTTTAACTTTAATCTTGCATGATCTTTCTTCTTTACATTGTTTACAAATGTCTTTGCTAGTTATTTCTTCAATTTCAGAGTTCTTCGACTCCTCATCTATGTTAATAACATCTGTAGCTGTAGCTGTAACATTGTTAATTGAATCTTTTTCTGTGTGAGTATTTTCAACAGCTTTTGTATTATCATCGTCTCCATCTTTTAAGTCCGTTACATCTTGCTGCTTGTCTTTATTACTGTCTGTACTCGATTTATCTTCAGAATTTTTTGGTACAGTATTGTGATCAGAATTAATTTCGCATGTAGATTTGTTATTGTTAATGCTAGATTTATTCGTTTGTTCAGGAATTATCACTTTCATGCTATCTGGAATAATACATAACTCGTCATCTTGTCCTGGTAAAACATTCGACTGTTCTTCCTCAGTTTCCATTGCTGTTACTTCGTGGAGAGCTTTTTCTGTTGTATCATCGCATTTTTCAGTTGATCCTGCAACTTTCGTTTTGCTTAAATTCTCATTTCCTTCTGATAAATTCGCCTCTATGTCAGACGGACCTGCGATGCAATTCTTCTCAGCTTCTCGACTTATGTTCGAAGACTGCACTGCATTAACAGAAATATCTTTATTTTTTTCATTATCTTTATTGCTAGCATTAAAGTCGCTTTCTCTAGCACTTACAATAACTTGTAGATTGTCAGCCTGAGTACATAGTTTAGGAAAACCTACTTCGGTTTCATTAAGATCGTCTGTGTCCATTGGCTCAATAGTTTCAACATTAAGGTTGTCTCCACCAAAGGGGTCCTCCGCATCTATGGATTGATTTTCAATTTGAGCATCTCCATGTTTCTCCTGAGAGAACTGTACAAACTCTGTATTTTCTGGTTCTATTATATTTTTTTCTGCTGTATCCTTCTCGCAACCTTCAGATATTTGTTCTGAATCAGTCTTTTTATTACCTGAATTATTTTTTTCATTAACTGATAATTTTGTTTTTTCATCTGTGCCATCAGCCTCTTTTTCAACTACATTTAAATTACATGTTTCATCTGTCTTATCTGTTGAACTTTGAATTTCTGTGTTTCCTGGCACATCTATTAAGCTTTTTTGAGATTCTATATTTTCTATTATGGTTGGATTACTCAATGTATCAATTGTGTCATTGCTTTCCACAACATCTGATGTTGTTGATATTGCTTCGCATTTATTTTCTTGTAAAATAGTTTTTGCATTACTTTTACATAAACCATCTGGCTGTATATTACAAATTGTTGATGCTATATTTTCATTGCTTTCTTGTAAATTTGAATCGTTTGCTTCTAATTTATTTTTATCCAAAGATTTTTCTTCGCACAATTTAGTGTTTAATGGTTTACTATTATCTATACTTTCTTCACATGTTTGTTGTGTTTCTCTGGCTGTATCAGCCGTGGTTTCACTACTTTGGCAAGTCTGTACAATTTCTTTCTCAGTTTCAATAATCAACGACTCTTCAGGTGCTTTGCTTGTATTACTACTGATTTTGTTTTTTCGAATAGTTGAACTATCAATATTTTCTTCATTTTCTAAAGATGAATCCTTTTCAGTATTAGAATCCATACTGAGTCATATAATGGAATATGGTTACATATATCTAAAAATATACAAAAACTATATTAACGTAGTAAAATTAAGAGAAACATGTACAAAAATTTATGTATACGCTTAAAAAGGAGTAACAAATTTTATTCAATTAATGCACATAAAAACAATGACTCACATATTCATTTACACAAAATTAGTATATAAAGGGCTTTGTACGATGTAAACAAATAAGTCAAAAACGATTTACACCCTAGGTTTACAAACAGAAATAATAGAACTATATTTCTTAGAATATAAAAATATGTAAACGACTTTGTGAATCATTGTAGAATAATTTGTATAGATCACTATAAACAAATATTTAAATTCGGTATGTAAAACACATAAAATACAAACATAAGAGTCCAATGAATTAATTATAGTTAGGATGGAAGTATCCTATGGCAAGAAGAAATAATAAAACATTTCTCGAAAAACAACTGACACTACATTTTCTTCGCTGATGCAGTAAACCGCTGTATGGAAAATTGAGGTTATTGCAGAAAGTAGCTTCGGTTCGCCATGTTGCAATTGATACTTGTGATTTAATCGAGTCTGACAGCGAAGGTAAAACATAAATAAAGGAAGAAAAGAACTGTATTTACGTTCCTTGGTAAACGGAGGTAATTTCTTATAAATGAATAGGCTGTTAAACAACACTATTTACTGATTCGAAATTAAATATTCTGTACAGTTCAAAATTCAACATCGATTGAAGCAAGTTATATTTGAAAGTATATAAAACACTCCTGTACTTCTAAATAACAAAATATACGTGTATCACCTTTAAATGTCGATGCTAACAGCACTCAGTCTCACAATTTCTTATTTAAAACTACAATACAGTATTCATCGTCGAAATATAGCTGCCGTGGCGGCAATCCACATACACTGCCAACATACGTATGTACATTCATAATCTCTTATTTGGATCAAACTAAATGAAGCCGCGTTCTCATAACAACTGTGTTATCGATGTTATCGATGTTTCTTACTACTAATCCCCTTTTGTATTAAATCAATTATGTTTACTTTAATTTCAAAAATATAGCAACAGAAATTCAATATTACATGATATTTCGAGACAAACAAATTCCTATTGCAACTGAAGAATTTTATGTTTCGTAATGAACTTAAACTATTTTAATAAAAATATCCAATTATGGTAGTAATTTGAAAATAATAAATACTTATATCAGATATATTATTTCTTTCATTATGGTTTTTCGATTAACGAATTTGAGGGACGGTAATCATGGTTGAATTCGTTGGTTTTGCAAAATGCGAAATGTACTTGAATTGCTCAAAGTTCGAGCGCATGCTCTCGACATAGGGCATAGTTTGTATACACTACACATGGAGGCGAAACTGCTGTCGGAATCTTGATGTTTAAAACCGCAAAATCTGAATCTTTCATACGGATAGTATTGCAACAATGAATATTATAAAAGCTATTATCATTTATTTTATCTATATATGTCACATAATATATACCTAAATGCTCTTACGTATTAAGCGAATTTCTAAGCTCGCATATCACAAATACAGTTTCCAAAAGTCCGTGTGAAGAACCTACTTGCAGATACATGCGCACTGGACATTGATGACTCGTAAAATAGCGAAGTTTCGTCTCTGTAATAAAATGTGAATTTGCCTGTGTTGTTAGTTAATCGTGACGTATATACGTGCTCTCACGCCTAAAGTCGACGAGTTGCATACATATATAGCAAATGTTAAACATTTGTCGATAGAGGATAAAAACAGAGAGTACACGTATACATGTATATGGTACGAAGAAATTTGCACAAGAGAAAAACAGTGTAGAACAACGGTAGAAGTAAGGACAGACGAAGGAAGAAGAAGGACAGAAATTCGTGTTTTTGTAGTTGATATTCAAGGGATCCTGCGAAGGGATACTTGTCAGGCAAAATTACCGATAGAACAGGAAGCATTGTGCTACGTCGTGTTCACGTTTATTTGAATAAATTCTTGTTGTGTGTCGTTCTGTTGTAACGAAAAGAAAGTGCACGCGACCCTTCGAGGACGCGTTGTCGATCATTGTTACAGTGGAAGCTTTAGAAAATGGCCGACAATTGGACACAGAGCGTTGTTTGCCGGTAAGAAACTCTTTTCTTGTCGTTTTCCTGATATATTTCAATAATCGCGCTACTCTGACAAAAAGCCGAACAATAATCCTTTCTGCAGAAGAACATTTTATAACCTGTCAACTAATTTCAATGTGCAAATCTCAATATTCTTTGGAGTGTTTGCATGTTTTTTCTTTTTCTTTTTTTAAATAAATTCTGCTTCTGGTATTAAATTTATTTATTCGTTGGAACAATGTAATTATTGTTAACAATAAAGCATTAATATATTGACAAAAAATCTTAATAGGTTTATACATATGTAAACTACAATTTTTTGTATATAAACACACAAGTATGTTTTCAACCTGTATAGCATGTTTGTAATGTAAATGTTTTAAGGTTAAATGTTTCTTTGTATCAATAAGCAAGGAATATTGTGGTTTTATAATAGCTGACAATTTATTAATAAAATTCTTTTGGTTGCAGCTATTTCAAAAATGGTATGTGTCGAGAAGGGAGCAACTGCAGATATCACCATAGCCAAAGTGCCAGGAATGATGGGAGTACCACAGAAACAGTAATATCTAGCCCTGCACCGCCTTTCATTGATGCTTGTCGCTTTTTTAAGCATGGCACCTGTAAGTTTGGAAATCAGTGCCATTTTCGTCACACCACTGAAACTGCTGAAAATAATTCAGAAGATGCAAATATGATAGATAGTGCTTCGCCTGGGCAACACGCTTCGAGTACTTCAACTTCGTCATCAATAAAGAATATGTATGTTAATGCCACAGTGATATAGATCTTTACTTTTATGTATATATGTAAGATACAATATGTGTGCTTATATATTGATTATATGCTTGATGTATTTTTAGTATAGAAAGTGCCTCTATGTACGAAGAATGGGTGAAAGCACCGGAATTTGTACCTTCGTCTGTTGCTGGTTCCTCTTCGGCAAGCGAGACGTGCACTACCTTAGGAACATCTGCAAGCTCTCCGTATCCGGTATCTTACGCGCAAGCTGTTAATCCTTCTGGTCAAGCATCCAGTTTATCAGTAGAACCACTCTGTCCATATGCAATGGCAACTGGAATTTGTAAAAAACGTAATTGTACATACTTGCACGGAGATATCTGTGAATTATGCAATCGCGCTGCACTACATCCACACAACGAAGATCTACGAAAGAAACATACGAATGTAATTCAATATATTACATTCGACTCATGTTAATGTTACGATTTACAGTATATCTTATTTTTCTTTTTTCTATAGGCATGTGTTAAGCAGCACGAAGTAGACATGGAGCTTTCTTTTGCGATTCAGCGTAGTAGAGAAAAGTCTTGTGGAGTCTGCTTTGAAATAGTGATGGAGAAAGCATCTGGTGAACAGAGATTTGGTATTCTACCAAATTGCAATCATTGCTTTTGCTTAAGTTGTATCAGAAAGTGGAGACAAGCTAAACAGTTTGATAATAAGATCATTAGGGCTTGTCCTGAATGTCGTGTCACTTCTGATTTTGTGTGTCCAAGTATGTACTGGGTAGACACGAAGGAAGAAAAAGAAAAATTAATAATGGACTATAAATGTGCATTGAGGTAAGAAGAATCATTTATGATTATTACAACATTTAATTACATTTATATTTTATTATATTATTGTTTATTGTAGCACCAAAGATTGCAAATATTTCAATAAAGGACGCGGCAAATGTCCTTTCGGTAACAAATGCTTTTACCTCCACGCGCTTCCCGATGGTACTAAAACAGACGTTGGTCCACCTGTTCGTCAAAGACGTAACGCCGACGATGAAATTGATTTCTTGCGTGTAAGTTTTTGTGACAGTCTGTATTCGTTTGTTTTAGGTATTAGACAACGTTATAAAGCCAATCTATGTGTAATCATAGAGAAGTTGGTGCTATAGCGTTTCCATTGTAAATATCTAAATACTAGTAAATGTATTCTTACAGCAGTTTTTCTTGTGGGATTTCCTAGAAGAGAGAGACGACCGCTGGTTACTCGACTTGGAGCTCGATGACATTGTCACTGTGTTTTCAGATTCGGAAGACTCTGATTGGTCTGGGCACGAACTTTCTTATGAGTAGTTGTACTAAAATTCGACAATCATTTCTGCTGTTACTGTTATCTGTATTATCTATCTTATCCACCACTTATATGTGGTTTCAGTGGCTGAATAGACAAGTAGTTTACGAATTGTTTGAATGGTTATGGTTCAAAGGTATCCTGTCTGTGTTGTGTGCTTCGCTTGGTGATATATTTACATTGAAAGACGTGTAAATGCATCGGATTGGTAAATAGAAGATAGCAGTAGTAAACGAGTCGCATGTATAATAATGACAAGGTTTTTAATACTATACTATCACACTTTGTAATAATTTTTTTCGCATATTCTTGACCAATATTCTTACAAATAATACTCAATCATAAGACGTATGCATCAGATTTGTTACATCAGTGGTCCAAATTAATTCAAAGAATAGAACATATTTTGCCAGCATAAACAGATTCCACCAAGCCGCGATCCTGTTTCACGTTTAATGATTTCTTCTTTAACAAGAAGTCAGTGGAAGATACTGTTAGATAACAATGATTACTTGTACGCTTAAAAATTTTTGTCTAGTGATGCTTGATTTAGTAACAAAATGAATTTTCTTTATTTACCTGAACAGAATAAGTGTACTGTTATCCTTTATGCTTTTAAATCAAATTCATTTTATCGATATTGTTATTAATCGTTGGCGTGGAACTTAACGCTCCAATAAGAACTTCTTGAGTAAGATGAAAAGATGATCATTTCTCTTACGATATAGTTTTAGTTTTTTCTTCTTTTAGAATTACCTTTTAGAATTACTTTCATCTCCATTAGGTACTTATTCTGTGGGCAGAGAAAACCAAGTCTGACTTTCACTATGTTTTTCGTGTTACTCGACTTGGCAAATAAAGAAGAATTCATGGAAAATAGTGTCCAATTTAAAAAAAGAACAGTAAACCATTATTTGCAATAATCAGTATAATGCATCCTGCATTACCCCCTGTTACGGCTCTGTGAACATTTAAAAATACAACAAATTCCTTAAATTATTCGATTGTATAGTGTTAGTTTTTAATTGATATAGAATTAAGGTATCCGTGATAATTGCGCAAATCGTGTGTAGCATGTAATAAAGTATGACTGTGCGATAGTATGGATCTTTGGTTGAATGTTTGTAATGGTAAAGAAAACAAAAAGAAATACTAACAAATACGTATTGATTCCGAATTTGAGAATGAATAAAAAAGAAGAAACAATATTATACGAACGTTAGGTGAACGAAAGTAGTTCTGGGATTTTTTATCAATTCGTCTTTATATTTTATTATTTATTATACATTTACACTTTTAATTGCTACCTATCGGAATCGATGATGCTGTTGTAGCAGACAAGTATAATTATGTGTAATAATGAATGAAGGCAATCCTAGAGCTGTATAAAGAGAAATAAAAGCCAAAGAATATGGTATCAATTCTTTCGATAGAAGTACTTCATTGCAGATAAACAGTTTCAATGGTATTAAAGGAATTCGCCTGAATGAGTATTACGTTAAGTGTTTTTGCGCATATAAATTCGATCTGTTGTTTGTAGGAGTAAGAAAACAAAATAATGTTTCTTTTGCAAGAATCTACTCTCAGTGTTGCCTTTAGTGAAAAGTCAGTTAACGTTACTTGATATTTTACTGGACAAACTTTCTGCGCACGCAAGTTGTTTGTACTTTCTATAAAATTTTTATACTGTTAATTTTATAGATAATTGTTATAATTCGGCGTTTATTGTTATTGCTAACGCTATTTATAAAAAACAAGAACTTGAAGTATTTGATATAATATTATGTATGGTAAATATCTATTTTAAAATATTTCTTTTTTCATTAACTATCAGAGCTAAATGAAGGTACATATTATACTATTACTTTTCTTGAATGTTTAGAATCAGTGTTGGGTGTCGATCGATTTCAACAATTCACAATTAATCCAATCGACGATTAAATGTATCTATGTCAGTTAAATGAAAAATTTAATCGTTAATTGCGTTAGATGTTGCCCAATTCTGAATCGAAATCCGCTACTGCTTCACGCGTTAACAATAAGAATAATAAGAACTTTGTGTATTTGTCAACACTGGGCGTTGCCACTTCTCGTCAGTTCGAATTTAGTTTTGTTTTTAAAAGCGTGTTCTTCGCGTCAGCATGTCGTGAAGGAGCGAACGTGTTTTCCGAGTGCCAATGAATTTGATTACGAGTCTCCGACGTGTTAATTTATTTTAGTTTTACAATGCGTGGCGCCGGCGAAGTGGGTGGGGGAGTGGTCTAAGAAATATTGTTGTCGATTAAACAGAATGCCGTGCGTTCGTGTATTTACAGATGTGCATAAGTGAATGTATAGGAATTTGAATTTTTATATGGTTTGTGAGTGGCTGCCTGAGTCGTAAACTTGCAAATCTAATTGCTTGAGCGATACTAGCTATAGGGCGTGCATTTTAGGTACAACTGACCTTGACTTTTACTTCCTACTATATCATAGTTCTCCAACATGGCGACTTCCGTTCCCCGGTTGACGTCAAAATTTTATTTTCTTTGTTTTTAATCTATCTATAAAAAATTTCACGCACGCGACCGTGTCTGGAATTCTTTATAGTAATTGAAATAATTTACTCAAACGAAATTTCGACAAGGAGGCTGTGAGCCAAAAAATGTTTGGAAACTATACGCTGTATCGACGAATTTTTCGTGTTTTCGCGAGAATCAGATTCACAGATTTATTTTTACTTTAGCGATTTGCTCTACTTTGTTGAATTTCTTTAATTTTATGCGTAATGAGAGAAACGCTTTATGGGTCAGTGTTCTTATTATTTTTACGATTTATCGATCTTTGTAACTGTCTGCAGACGGGTGCCGATAACGCTGTTCAACTAATTGTAGCATTTTTTGTCGCAGAAAATAAGTGTTGGACAGCGTAATGTAAGACAAGACTGTAGAAATAATAGGTTTTGCGAATTTCCCGTCTCAATAATCAAGGTTTTATTAAACGGCGTTCAACGATTAGACTGCGGAGTTTATTCGTTTCTGATAGAGATGATCGCGTGAAAAAAAATTAAACTTAATTTATTCAAATTAATAAAAAGAGTTTTTATTCGAATTCTGTTTCAGAAAATTTGTAATCTTTCATAAAGATCCGCAGTCTATCAACGACAACTTGAGCGTGGTATTAAACACTTTAGCTACTGGAAGTCTATTAATAAACTTCTTAACGACTTTGGTACACTTAAAAGAAATGATTAATATTATTACTTAAGATGACTAATGAAATAACTTCCGATAGGTAGAGTGTCAAAATCGAATGCCTCGAGTTCTCGTTTAGTTATTGCGACGAGCCACTGCCCAACGTTAACGTGTCTTTTAAACTTATTGTTAGTGATAAAACAGGAAGTTAGAAGTTAAGGTGGTAACGAGTTAAGCAGTAAATAATTTCGCTGTACTATTGCGAGGATACGATACCATTGCCAAGTGTTCACGTGCCCCGCGTGATCGAGATCATTATTAACTATAGAAAATTTATAATGCTGTTAGACTATCTACAAATTGTCTTGTGCGTAACGAAACTGTAATTTATGATTGGAATAGACGCACAAGTTTCCCGGAGTTATCTCGCGATCATTCTCGAGTATCGAGTAGTTCGTTTATAGTCATTAATTTGTATATTAGTCAAGCTCAATGAGAAAAGTAAGTGATATGTAATGTATATTGGCTTCAATTTCATTTCTTACGATGATATATTTTTGTTATTGGAAGTAGACGAATAAATGAACCATGCGTCTATGTAAAGAGGTCGACATTCCTAAAGTCAGTTAGAATTTTCATCAATTACATATATATATATATAACTTTTCAACTACGAATTTAGCATACGATATGTTCCTTCGAATGGAAACAATAGGGAGGCAGCAAATATATACAATACATTATATATATGCGTAAGAATCAACTGTTTATTATTTCCGAAAAAGGTGTGATCAAAATTCAATAAACAAACCATTTTTTCTGTCACGAATTCGTACTGTCGCTTAATTTAGACGTTAGTTTAAGTCTACGATGCTTACTGTCGAAAAATGTAAATTTGTATCAGTGTATGTATTAAACTTAAAACGAAAATAGTATTCTATTACCGATACGTTACAAAACTAAATACAATTTCGTTAAATTCGTATATAGACTTTATCTATAAATAAATATAATGTAGTTTGAAAAGAAAAAGCATTGCAAAATGTTTTTCGAGTCTTTGGCTCTCAAAATCCAAGGCACTCAAAATAAGGAATTTAATTATATTCTTATGTCTTACAGCGAACGTTGTGCAGAACACTCATATTAAACAAAAACACAATATATTTATTCATATTTATCTATGAATATCTATGAATAGCATAATGATCTAACGAAACACACAAGGTTTCTGCGGTGAAGCTCGATCATCATTCGTTTCTTACTAATTATTAGTTTACCAGTCGTGTATAATTTATCTACGTGTACTTTTAATTATCGAAATTGTTCAAGGCTAAGCACCCACTGGCAACTATGAATAGAAGACAAACAAAGAAGTGAAGTATGAATGAATAAGAATAGAAAAATGGAAAATATTTAAAGAGAACGTTAATGAAATAATAAAACCTTTTGACTCTCTATTAAATATCAAATAGTAAACAATCTATATGTAATAGCATAGCAAAGTATTCCGACATTTTTAATATCCTAAACAAAAGAAAAACTACAATAGATGTCGTATTAAAATATTTTGTAAATAAATAAAGATTCTTCTTTTTATATTGATACATATTATCTGCGTAAAAATGACTGTTTCAGTCTATTCTCTTCACTATTAAAGAGGGAACATTCTCTGTGTCCAAAAGCGAATAACTTTGCAATCAAATGCTTTTTTCTCGTTTCTCCGCAAACGTTTGAATTATATATACAATTTCTAATTGCCAGCTTAGACCTAGCCAATTCCGTACAGTAATTATGCTATATAAAATCAATTATATAAAAATATGTCTTAATATCCTATATTACTAAACGAAGCAGTCGATGCGATGAAATACGATCACATTGTGACGGTAAATTAATATTTATTGCTAGATCGCGATCGTGATTCGAACACTCAGGGTATAATGCTCAGAAATCTTTCGCTCCATCCTAGAACCGTTAAATCGCCAGGTCAGCGCATGTATATTAAAACTCTGTCTCAATATCTTATTCGCTATGCAACACGTGCATACGTGCCTTATACAGATTTCCTCCACAATTTCAATTAAAATAAGGCACTAACCAGGTCTCGATATGTCAATACAGTCGATTTTGAAAAATATTCTAAATGCCATAATAATATTATAATAATATGCCATAATAAAATTTGTATAGAAGATGGCAAAGGTTAAAACGCGGCCTCTTTATCTACTAGGTAGATCAGGAAACATTACATCGCAAATTTGCTACAATCTCCAAATATCTCTAAGCCAGAAATTTTCATGGAACATAATAATAAATTTTTCGTGTTTCAATTTTTTTTACAACGGGGAAAGAATTCTAATAATTAACTAGATAGGTCCAGCCTATCGATCACATCTTTTTAATCCGTGCGAAACGGATGAGTTATCTCAAAGACGCCAGATACGGCTGACAAGTCATTCGTTGAACTGGCTGATAGATTCTTTTTTGAACTGCGGCGGATCCGTTCTGAGCGACGTTCGACGCATCCGATTCCCCGTGAAAATCTGCCCCGGTGTAATGCGCCCCTCGCGAATCGTCTTGTGCGTCGCTTGAGCAATTTTGCCCGTTTCCTTCGTTCCTCTTGCGGAACTTGGTTGAGTATTTGTAAAAATCGGACATCTCGAATGGCTTTGTGACTTCTCTGTAAGGTTGATACTTTCCGGCTTGAACGATTGTGCAATTTTGCGATGATCCCAATCGTATCGTCTCTTCACCGGCTTCTTGAGACGACTTCGATTCGGCTGGAATTTCGAGCACTTTCTTCCGCGTGTGTTCGTACCGAGCCGACGATAACGGTTGCAAATGCTGTTCGCTTTCGGCAGTAATCAAGTCAGTCTTACGATGATTCATCGGAGGCATATAGCTACTAGATTTCCCATCCTCGGAGCTGTTAGCACTCGGCAGCTTGGAACATGTAGGAGCCGTGGACTGATAATGGATATTCTTATGCGAAGCTACCATGTCGAGGTCCAATCCAGAACCCCCTCCCGAGTCTAACGAGGTTTCGTACCACTCCTTCTCCTTTCCCTTGCGACTAATATTATCTGTCGTGTCTTTGCCGTCGAGCAGATCATGCAAATGGCTTGAATGCCACTTCTCCACGCTGCCCAGCGATTGCGTGCGAAGCAGCATTTTATTGTTGGTCGATGGATGCTCGGACAATGGCAGTAGATGAACGGAGGCGTTCTGATGAGGAGGAACACAGACAGAATTTTTGCTGCCCCCGATTGATACGGTGCGATATCGCGGTTGTATATCGGCACCCATGCTGGCAGTGTGTTGCACCGCGTTTCGCTTCCTACGATCTAAACTCCCAAATCTATCCGCTATGGGTGGGTCGTCGGGACACCACACGATCTCGTCTTCGTATCTTACCCAATAACCCGTTGGTATTTGCGGGTCACTAGGCGAGTCTGTGTACCGCAAATTCTTGCTTCCACCAGAGTCGCGATCTCGTCTCAGCAGGGATTGCGATTGAGAGTTGTTCTTATGGTACACCGGAAATTCGGGCATGTGTGTATAATGTATCCCACGGAAATCTCTGTCGTAATAGTCTTGACCCGATCTCCGTTGGATATCGTTATCCAAGTGTTTGTAATCGCTGTATTGGTAGTTGTGAGTTTGTTCTTGCATTTGCTGTTGCTGAATCTGACGGTACCGCATTTGTCTTTCCTCCTCGGTATAAGTATTTGGTAATGGCCGGTACAATTTTTCGGTTTCTTGATAGTGATTTTGAGCGCGCGAGCCGCCGCTGCCGTGTGAGTACGTTCGCGTCCGATACTGGTCTGGTAATATATAAACATTCTGATTATCGTTATGATCGTGCTCGATTATTTTGATGTTTTGTCGCTGGTCGGACACGGGCGGACAATAAGCACCTACATGACCGTGGTTACAAGTATTAGTTACTAGCAGTTGGTCATCGTATACGTGTCCCGGATATGTACTACACTTGTCCTCTGATCCCAAGGGACTTAAACTTATACCACCCTCTTGGAGCAAACCTCTAACTTTTGTACTTCCTTCGTTTACTGAGAACAAAATTCATTTCAAACGAACGAATCAAAAGAAATTATACAGCGTTCTTTAGCTAACCGAAATTATTTATGTATCAGCTTTATTTATTGCTGTATAATTTTGTTCTAAAAATATGTAGTTTTTTTTATAAATAACATAATAAATAAGGCAGATATACAAATAATCCTATTAGCTCAAACAATCTGAGACAAATCAGATAATAAAGTAATGAAGTATAAATAAGCAATACCTGTGCCATCCAACGGTGGCCGGGGCTTTTTGGTCCTATGTTTCACATTTGTATATAAATGCGGTTGAGTGTTGTAAACGGCAGTGTGTTGTGCTTGCACGCTTTGTTGATTTTTGGTACGGCTCTGCCTTATAAAGTTCAATCGCACTTCCAATTCTTGGAGTCTACGCTGACTCTGTTGATAGACTAGCCTGTGTTTACGGCGTACAGCCTTACTCTCTGTGGGATCATTTACAATACCCAAGGCAGCTTCTACTATACCAATTTGAACTTGTCGTTCCAATTCCAAGGCAGATTCCTCCTGTAAAAAAGGGAAAATATTTGTTCCATTGCATCGGGCCTTCTCTAATTACACAATTACAACACATACAACTTCGTTTGTTTTCAATTTGTTAATTAAATTTTGTGGATAAGAAAATGCTGTTCCAACTCTTTTACGGAACACAGGTGGACTTTCTCCAGGTTCCAATGGAATTTCTGGTGGCAACACACCAGTTAGTTCTGCTTCTTCGACACACAAATTTTTTAGTTCATTGTTCTTTTGAACTAACTTTTCTTGGAGTGCTTCCCGGCGTTGACGAAGCCACTGTAACCTTGTGGACAGTGAATCTTCTGCCAAAGATCCAGAGGTATTTTCGTTCCCTGCCATCACTTACGACAAAAATATATTTATGCACGTAACGCTTTGTCAAAGTATTCGAGTCTCTGGTAAAAAATTCGATTATTTACCACTTACCCATATTATTAGCGAGATATGATGCTTCTGTTCGATACACGGATTCGTATAGAATGTTTATATAATCGAAGCGTCTCTTATACACTCAAGACCATCGGTTGTGACAAGTGTAACAGTTGATACATAATATGTACACTGAACAACATTTTTGTGAATTGTTTTATTCCAAGAGATTTTCTTCAGAATGTTACTTCCCATCATCTTAAAATCACTCGGTGTCGCAGGCTGTGCAAGTCTCGATAGAAAACGTCTGTTAGGTTATCTGTTATTGTTACATGGTTCTATCACCACAGAGCAATAGATAATTTCACAACACACCCCGCGTCGCTTTCTACATTAGAGAAAACTACCTGTGAGAAAGAAATTTTCAAGTTATTACATTATAAACAGAATAGATTCTTGATAAACAAACGACAAACATTATCAAAGTATGACTCGAATAATGACGCGGATCATCATTACTCACAAATGCAAGATACTTACAGAGGCGGAACTCTAGCGTTTTCCGATCATGAATTAACAATGCGCATGCGTCCATAAGTAGGATTCCTTTTTCTCACAATAGTACATATAAAGTTCCTTCCATTTTTAAATTCTAATACAGCATCCTAATGACTTAAAATCGAAAATCCTCTAACATAAATTGCATTACTTTATCTTTAATTATAAAATCACAAGACCAAAGTATTGAAATATTATTTTTTATCTAAATGACATTGACTCATGCCACTTTTGCTGTACAATACAATATAAAATCCGGCAAGTACCAATTGCTGTTTAGGCGATGGTGGTGTTACTTGTGTTGAAAATAAGAAGCTCTGTTTGAGCGTTTTGCCACGACCCTAATTGACGCTGTACCCCGAATTCACTTTTTTTCCAAAAGGGGCGCCACCATCGCCCACATGTGCATAATGCAGGATCACCTGATAGGGCTGACAGATAATGTACACAAACAGACTACATTATACAATTGTGACAATCTATAAGAGTAAATAAAAATTGCAGCCATACAATATTAATCAAATATTTTTATTGGCCGTGACATCGTAAACACGTGTTTACAGGCAATAAATTCATTTGAATATATTCTAATAAGAATAAAATATACCAATAACAATATCTATAAATTTAATCTTTACTTGTCAAAAAAGGTTGGGCCCACTTTGGATTTTAATATGATCAGTGATCTGAAACCAGAATGCTCGTTTCCGTCATGGTATTCAAAATTTCGTAAAGACACCCTAGAAGCTACAATTCTTCATATTCCCAATGATGTACTCAAGTATCTGGAAGACGATGCATTCTTTTTACCTGTGGAAGCAACGAAAGAATCATTGGAAAATAATGAATGGGCAGATGGTTCTCCTGTAATTAACGAAGAGGTAAATAATTCTTCGACTAAATATGGTAAAGAACAAGGGAAACAAAGGTGTTTTTTTAGCATTCGTCTGAACTTCAACCAACATTCCCAGAGTTCAGCCAGAAGATTCAAGACGTGATAGATGAGTATGGTGCAGTCTTTATTAAAAGCAATTGGAAATCACCTTCTGTAAATATGCTTCTTTCGATTTCTTTACGGTATGCTTATCCACTTGCTTGATGCCTATAGCTTTTTAGGATGCAACTTGGGTTGCACCCACCAAAACTCTCAAATGCAAGACATTAGAAGAGGTGTACTTGTTATTGAAAAGTTCTGACAGAATCGCAAAAGATTTAAGTAACGTTAGGAACCATGCTGATAAGGAAATTCCATTGGAGTCCTGTCTTATATTGAAGCAGTGGAGAGACATTAATCCATGCACAGAATTTCGATGTTTCGTGCTAAAAAATGATCTCATAGGTAATTGTTTTGTAATTATTCAGAATTTTCTTGTGCTTCGTGATAATTATTTGAATCCGATGCAGCTATCAGTCAACGAGATATATCGCAGTATCATAGTTACAACGAATCGGAAAAATATAATATCCGAACAGATATTAAAAGCTTGTTCATGGAACATATCAAAGACAGGTTTCCACTGGACGATTGTAAGCGAATAAATATACTCGTTTGTATCGAGTTAATCAATATTGAAACAATGCTCGCGTTCTAGATTCGTTCGATGTGATTCGTTATAAAAAAGATAAGGTAAAGATCATTGATTTTGGCTCTATGGACGAATCTTCCACCAAAGGAACGCTATTCACTTACGAAGAACTGCTAAATCAGATCGACGACACACCGGAATTCCGATTTATCGGCGAGGAGATTGGCATTCAACCAAAGCCACCGAATCATTTTTGCATTCCTCAAGAGATCAATGAATTTTTTCAGCCGAACAACAACACGACGTTGCTGGATATCATTCAAAGAGTAAACAATAGTGTCCCTTAGCACTCTAAGTATCTTTTCTATCATTGCAGTAAAGTTCTCATGAACCAAAAATGTCTTCTTTTCAGTCGTCCATTTTATTACAGTATAAACAAAACTAGTACGACTATTATTATTAGTACAGCATCACCGTAGCGCGGTAACAGAGTGCAAAGGGATATAAGATAATTATAACGTAGTCCTTCATTCGTGATTGCTCGTAATTAATTGAATTCGTTTATTTCAGGAAGTAGAGAATCAACGAAAAGAGCAAGAGAGATTAAACTCCAACGTTACGAGTTAATTAAGTTTAATTAGATTTATTGCGAACTACTAGTAATAAAATGATATTGCGTTTACGTTAACACGTGGTATTGTTATTGTTCGTTTAACGATTTCTCCCGTGAAACCGAAAGAAGAAGCGTGGATAGATTTCGAGAAGAAGAGTAAAACAATGTACATACATACTTCGACTGTGGTATGACTCGGTAGAATAACAAATAAACGTACTCACGGGGGAACACATTTTAAATACAGAACTTTCAGTTTTATTCTGCCAGACCCTCTTCTATCATTACATTACATAAAACGATTAAAGGCTATCCTACCGCTTAAAAGAATTATCATAATATTGCAATATTTTTTCGAGCCATCGGCCTTACCGAGCGACGTCCCTTATATAGAAAATATGTCTTGTTTATGTACAATATGCAATCCTTAATACTTCGACTTGAAAAAGGATTCTCGATATATGTACCTCCGGACAAGTTAATACGCTGTACAGTCATATCCAAGGAGCATTGTTTTCTTCTCGGTTTATTCTTCTTCGCAATCGATAAAAATCAACGAGATCAAGCGATCACTTGCATCATTCCATCACTTCCATTACTTCTACTACGTCGGTTACATCCGTTAATCCCGTTACTTTTTTGTGAATATTTCTCTCTCTCGATTCCTTTCCCCTCCGACGATCGTAATCGCGTTACCCATTCGACAAACAGCGTTTTCGTAATTCTGGTTGGTATCAACGTTATATATCGCTCTCCTCATTCATGTACGATGCTCATCGGTATTGGTAATTAGTATTCCGGTATCTGAGTATACACAATTATCGATAGGGATCCGAGATTCACGGTTTTACAAAGATTTTATTCTTGTTTTCGTTGCGCGCACTGTTTTGTCGTCGATTTAACCCTCAGACGACGGTGATCCGGGTCCATCCCGACCCGGGTTTCCTCGAACGTTTTATACGACTTCTCATCGTTTTCTCAGCCTTCTCTCAGCCTCCGACTTCTTAACTTAAATTGTAATTAATTTTTATTCGGTTCAGTAACGAGGTTGCCTCTATTGGAAGAAGTACGATGAAGAATACAACATCTACAGACCTGGGCTTCGCCGTCCCTACGATGCTTTCGAAAAAGTAAAACGTCCGCCTTCCGAGGGTTAAGAATGAAAAGTAGCGTAGATCAAAGAAATCAACCGATGGAACAAACAAACCAGAAAACACTATTTTCATGGATCGAGCGATCAGTCGATTACAATACGTATCTATTCGTTAAAAAATTACGCGTCCCGTGACGATTTTTTTTAGAAAAGATCGCACACGGAAAAGCCAGCAATAGCAATAGCAATTTCACGCGGAATCTTTCGCACGATGTTCAAACGAACATTTTCCTGTAAATGTCGGTCCTCGTTATTACTACAAATGAAACGAAACGATTCGTTGGACAACCGCGACCGGTCGACGACTCGAGCATCTTGACAATTTTCCGATCGAGTGTTTCGAAGAAAACCAACACGATTTTCCCGACGCTTTCGCTTCCACCGTCGATGGAATAAACAAATTATATAGATTACGATCTATCTTCTAACCACCATCGCTAACTACCAGAAATATTTCGCGGAATTAATAAGATCAAAAAATCGATTAACAAAATTAAATCTGTAATATTGATGTTCAGGCCTTCGATCGTTTTCATTCATTTACATTCTTTTGTATTTTAGACATTCGAATAAAAATCGGCTCACTCGAATCTCTTGCGATAAAAACTATTCCTTAAAAAACGGTATTGCTTGCGGTCACGATATTTCTTCCATCGACGGTGCAATTCATGCCACCACTTAGGTTTACCAGGATGAGCCGTCCGCTTTGTAAAGTGAAGTTTCGTCAGTATGTGTGCCGATTTCGAAAAATTTAAAAACAATGATTTCAAATTGAATGACGTAACAATCTATATTGCGAAAACTGTCTATTAGAAACAAAACGAGAGTTTTATGGGGACTGTAAATTATATAAAAATTGTCTAAACTACTTTCAAATGTACACGTCTCTATAGTTTGAAGTTACAAGTTACGTGAAAAATGTTGTTTGAAAAAAAAGCTCAAATTGTGCGGTAACAGACTGCTAAACTCGATCGAACTTTCTGGTAGATCTAAGAGAAAAGATGTGTTCCCTTTTTTCGATCGCGTATCTTCTTCTTGAAATATTTATAATTCGAAATATTCGCGTTCGGAGAAGCGGTTCGTTTCTTTCGTAACTACGGACATGACTGTACCGGTGTTATTCCGTTATCGTTTTTTTTCTCTTTTTTTACTGTGAATTTCTCTAACACCTTCATCCTTGGTTTGTCCGGTTTGCCCCAGTTCCTATCTTCCCCCTCTATCGCATTAAGTTTACTTAATCTCTCGATCTTCAACTGATTTGTGCTAAACGACAATGCGTAAAATCCTTAATCAATGTACGTTTTGCAGTGCACGGCCCTGTCTCGTTCAAAATGTATTTCTTTCTTTCCTTTCTCTTTCTCCCTTTCTCCCACGCACACACGCACACGCACGCATACACACACGCTAGCACACACAAGTACACACACTCTCTCTCTTCCCTCTTTCTCTCCACCCTCTGATTTTTCTCGTCCGATTTGTTCGTCATCCTCCCCGGTCAACGTCAATTTACTCGCGTCGCTATCAGATCGACGCAACGGCGATATCGTCCTCTCGAATACTGGTAACAAGGGGTGTTTCTTTTTTTCGCCTCGAGCGAGAACAAAACAGTAGTCTTAACAAACGATACGATACAAAATATTGTGAATCGTCTCTCGAACAACCAGTGTTAAAGCGATTGGAATCGTTTCCGTCCGACCCGTTCGATCCGTCCCTTTGTCATTTCTCGGTTTCCGTCTCGTTACCGTTCGTTTCCCCGCTACCTTTTACGTTTTAAGTACCTGAAAAAAGCGCTCAGCTTCGAAAAACTTGGCTCGTTCTTAAGCGTTTCGTTTAGGTTCGCATCGTTTCTCCTTAATTAAGTCCACCCACGTGTTGTTTTTACGAAGACTACGGTTACCCCTCTATTATAAATGCGATTGGTACGACTAAAGGTGGCGAAAAAGGCCAGGCTATCACCGACAATCGAATTTTTCTCCTCTTCGATCTTTCTTCTTTTTCTTTTTTTTGTTCCACACGCACACATTTTATAAGCCCCTCTCTTTCTCGTTCCCTTTCACACTATAGCGCGCTCGCTCGCTGTTGCTCTAAACGTAAAAGCTACACGTAAACGTTTCCTTGTCCATTCCTTCAAAAAATACGTATTATTATTTTGGTGCAACGCTTCTTCAACAAAATTTACATCTACACACAGACGCGTCTTTTCTAAAGGTCTTCCCGACCGTTCGCTGCTGTACGCAACACCAATTAAATACCGTCCCCCTTCGCTCGTATCTCTCCCCCTACGCTCATTTCTCACCCTCTACGTCTCCGCGCCCGTCGTATTCGCGCTCTAAATGTACAGGAAGATAAGAGCCTACTATTAGTTTAAGACGACCGCGACAACTTGGATTTCTTGTCTTGTTCTTTCTTGTCGGCTCCGGCCGCTGAAACCCCGCCGAATCCTCGAGAGAGAGAGAGAGAGAGAGAGAGAGAGAGAGAGAGAGAGAGAGAGAGAGAGCTTGTGTCGTTACGCTATATACAAAATGACAAGCGCAGGATAAACGTGATTCGTGGATGCGATCGAGAACAGGCTAGCGCTTTCTTTCCTCGACGAGCGATCATCAGTGATCACCACCGAAAAAAAACGTGCGATCAATGTGAATCCCCTCGTGTTTTCGTTTTCATCACGTTATTCATTTTCCCCTCGAGCTCTCCTCGAACGAAATCGGATCGTTCCGTTTTAGGTCTATGCTATCGTTTCCCATGAAAATGTTTCCACGACCCGATTTCGCGTACGCGCGCGGAGGCATCGCTCGTTCGCCCTTCGGCGGCGTTGCCCGGGTCCATTTCGACCCAGCGTTTAGGAGGTAATCGATTCAACTTCGAGGTTTTGTTTATCCGGTGCAATAAGGACGAGTCGAATTTTCTAGCAGCCAGTTCAAATCGTTCACCATTCGTTTCGGGTCCGACACGCGGGGATCAACGTTGATCTCGGAGAGGTAGATCAAAAAATATCTAAAACGCTCAGTAAAAAAGTTAACCGGCTGCTCGAATGGGCCCGAGCAATGCCAGCTGTGTAATCGCGAGCGTTTATTCCCCGAAAGAAAGAAAGAGGAAGATAGAGAGAAAGAGAGACAGAGAGAAAGACAGAGAGAAAGAGAGAGGAGGGGGAGTTTACCAGACGATCTCTTGATCAATTTACGTAGAATTTCAAGGGGCGTGATTCGAAGCGATTTATCTCGCAACGAAGGGAACAACAATGTGCCTTGATACGGTGCAATTATGAAAATTCGATCTCGGATCGTCAGAGCCAGCCTCCGCGCCCATGCTCGCCGAAACACGTGCAGCACATAACTTCGGCAGGCAACACACACGCACACACGTAAACACACGCACCAATGATTCGCTAGTGAAAAAGGTAGAGAAATCGTTCGAGCAACAGCGGCCGATCGCTTTTTTTTTACTGATGCGTATTCGCGATAGAAATTGTTTAAAAACGCGACGAGAACTACGAGAAAGACGATCGACGCGTGCACGAGGTAGAGTTTCTTCCCTAATCGTCGTCGACAGAATGGAAAAAAGGAAAACAAACGGAGGAAAGAAGATATCTATATCTTACATTGATACACGTTCAGAGCGAAGCAATTGAACTAATACAATTTACACCAGACAGACGACAAGGACGGTCGAAATTTCTCGCCCGTCTCCGCCAGTCTCGTCTACACCTGTTTCCCCTATCTCCTTTTTCTTATCTCTCTCTCTCTCTCNCTATCACCGACAATCGAATTTTTCTCCTCTTCGATCTTTCTTCTTTTTCTTTTTTTTGTTCCACACGCACACATTTTATAAGCCCCTCTCTTTCTCGTTCCCTTTCACACTATAGCGCGCTCGCTCGCTGTTGCTCTAAACGTAAAAGCTACACGTAAACGTTTCCTTGTCCATTCCTTCAAAAAATACGTATTATTATTTTGGTGCAACGCTTCTTCAACAAAATTTACATCTACACACAGACGCGTCTTTTCTAAAGGTCTTCCCGACCGTTCGCTGCTGTACGCAACACCAATTAAATACCGTCCCCCTTCGCTCGTATCTCTCCCCCTACGCTCATTTCTCACCCTCTACGTCTCCGCGCCCGTCGTATTCGCGCTCTAAATGTACAGGAAGATAAGAGCCTACTATTAGTTTAAGACGACCGCGACAACTTGGATTTCTTGTCTTGTTCTTTCTTGTCGGCTCCGGCCGCTGAAACCCCGCCGAATCCTCGAGAGAGAGAGAGAGAGAGAGAGAGAGAGAGAGAGAGAGAGAGAGAGAGAGCTTGTGTCGTTACGCTATATACAAAATGACAAGCGCAGGATAAACGTGATTCGTGGATGCGATCGAGAACAGGCTAGCGCTTTCTTTCCTCGACGAGCGATCATCAGTGATCACCACCGAAAAAAAACGTGCGATCAATGTGAATCCCCTCGTGTTTTCGTTTTCATCACGTTATTCATTTTCCCCTCGAGCTCTCCTCGAACGAAATCGGATCGTTCCGTTTTAGGTCTATGCTATCGTTTCCCATGAAAATGTTTCCACGACCCGATTTCGCGTACGCGCGCGGAGGCATCGCTCGTTCGCCCTTCGGCGGCGTTGCCCGGGTCCATTTCGACCCAGCGTTTAGGAGGTAATCGATTCAACTTCGAGGTTTTGTTTATCCGGTGCAATAAGGACGAGTCGAATTTTCTAGCAGCCAGTTCAAATCGTTCACCATTCGTTTCGGGTCCGACACGCGGGGATCAACGTTGATCTCGGAGAGGTAGATCAAAAAATATCTAAAACGCTCAGTAAAAAAGTTAACCGGCTGCTCGAATGGGCCCGAGCAATGCCAGCTGTGTAATCGCGAGCGTTTATTCCCCGAAAGAAAGAAAGAGGAAGATAGAGAGAAAGAGAGACAGAGAGAAAGACAGAGAGAAAGAGAGAGGAGGGGGAGTTTACCAGACGATCTCTTGATCAATTTACGTAGAATTTCAAGGGGCGTGATTCGAAGCGATTTATCTCGCAACGAAGGGAACAACAATGTGCCTTGATACGGTGCAATTATGAAAATTCGATCTCGGATCGTCAGAGCCAGCCTCCGCGCCCATGCTCGCCGAAACACGTGCAGCACATAACTTCGGCAGGCAACACACACGCACACACGTAAACACACGCACCAATGATTCGCTAGTGAAAAAGGTAGAGAAATCGTTCGAGCAACAGCGGCCGATCGCTTTTTTTTTACTGATGCGTATTCGCGATAGAAATTGTTTAAAAACGCGACGAGAACTACGAGAAAGACGATCGACGCGTGCACGAGGTAGAGTTTCTTCCCTAATCGTCGTCGACAGAATGGAAAAAAGGAAAACAAACGGAGGAAAGAAGATATCTATATCTTACATTGATACACGTTCAGAGCGAAGCAATTGAACTAATACAATTTACACCAGACAGACGACAAGGACGGTCGAAATTTCTCGCCCGTCTCCGCCAGTCTCGTCTACACCTGTTTCCCCTATCTCCTTTTTCTTATCTCTCTCTCTCTCTCTCCCTCTCTCTCTCACACCACTTTCTCCTCCCACGCTATTCCCTTAATCGCGTATCTCGTGTACTCTTCTTTCCTTTCTCTTTCGTTTTCGATAGCTCGTCCGTCGTTTCATTTATTTCCTATTCTTTTTTTTTTCCTTTTGTCCATCGAAACGGAGTTACTTTGGTTCGTATCACGAAAGGAGATTATTCACAGGAACATTACTTTTCGAAGCCCCGGAAACGCTCAGCCTCGGCGATCGGGGGGGATAATTATTATATCAAACGCGCCGACTAAAAATCAGTTTCTAGCCGCTATTCACACGCGACGAAGTTCTCGAATATAGACGATGCCCGACGATGAACACCCGAAAAATTGATCACCGTGCGTCCTCGTAGCTTAATCGCGCACAACCTTCACAAGTGCCCGCTTACTTTTTTGCTTCTTTTCTTTCTTTTTTTTTCTCCATTTGCTCGACGACGCTGTCCAACGGCTAACTCGCGTTTCTCGGTGACCACAAGGTGATTACTGTAGATTTTGGTGTGCAGAACCGCGCGTCCTAAAGCCGCCTTTCTCCATCATTCTCGGTCTCAGAAAAATTCAACTTCGACAGGGAACTGTGGTTGGTTAATCGAACGAAAAAAATCTTCCCGAGTTCTTTACGAGCTGATCTCGTCGAAGTTTTCTTTTTTCTTTTTCTTTTCTTTTTTTACACGCGACGATTTTCACGGACTATACGTACATGTCGAGCCTCTGAAAAATGTCCTGATCGAACGCAAAACTCTATGAATCCGAAAGCAATTGGGAAAAGCGGTTTTCAGATTCACGTTCCGCCTATCGATTATCTGAGTGCAAAACGAGGGCTCAAAATTTGTTGGACAGCGTAATTTAATTAGAAATTGTAGGCATTCTCACGCGTCACGACAACACACCGAAAGATGATATAAACCTGTCATTCTGAAACAAGGTGAAGCGATTTTGTACTAAAGTGCAGCGATATAATATTATACTTTTAATGAATTATCTACGCAATGTACAGTTTTTTGGGTACTTTTTCTTTTTATACATGCACCGTGACAAGGTATAGTCGGCCTATACGACAGATAAGTTGTTTTCTTATGTATACATACATATGTATATAATATATTATATATATATTGTATTATTATATATCATATGTTATATATATATTATACATATATATACATATGTATGTATATCTCATCGATTTTTCCTATCTCCCGTCTATCTCTCCACACGATATCGTTTAATTCTTCCGTTCTCGGGTTTCGTCGATCATTCATTCGATTCTCCCGTCGACTTTTCTTCTTCCGTCAAAGGTATGATGCTACAATTTACAAGGATGGTGTCGCAATTATAAAGTTAAGGTTCTATATGTACCGAGAAGCGTTACGCGGAAAGGCAAAAGTTCAATGCGTGTTGTCTTACTACGTTACCTCACCGAACGAGATCTATGTAGACTCTATTTTGTCTACTCAGTCTGACCACACTGTGTAAGAACGTGGAATAGTATTTGTCGCGATAGATATACAGTAGAGAGAATTTATAGATTCAGGCTCTTTATAGTCTGCGAGGGGATGTCTCTATCGTCTTTATACAATCGCGGACACGCTCTCCGTTTACATTTGCCAACCGTGCAATTCGTTCTGGATCGCAATCGTGCACCTCATGATCCGCCCCTCGCTTTTCCCATTCACTCTGTCCCTTGCTCTCCCTCTTACTCTCTCCCAAGCGCGCCTAAGCCTCGCCACAAACCTTATCTCTTGACTAGATTGCGTCTCTAATATTCTTAACGATTTAATCTAAGTCTGCCATTCATTTATAATCTGCACCTTACACCTAGGTATCGTAATAACATCTAGCGGTAAAAGGATGATCTATTCTCGCAGAGATCGTACATTTCCTCGCCGTTTCTTTTTCTCTCGCTCTCTCCTCATAACAAAAAAAGCTCTTTCATCTTGCGACCAACGTAACAAATTGTCGGTATGAATTTATATTTACGAAGAAAATCGTCTCGCGAGTAACATTGTCGCCTATGCGGGGGATAGGCACGCGCAAACACACGCACGCACGCACGCACGCACGCGCGCGCGCGCGCACCCATGCATACACAGAGGACAGACAGACACGCAGACATACGCTCGCATACGCACACATACCGCACACACGCAACGAGAGTTACGTGGATATCAGAAAAAATTTCTCCCGCAAAGAACCTTCGCGTTCGCACAGCTACGTATATATGTACAAGCCATTTTTAGTTTCATCGTCTCGTCCGAGTCGCGCGAACAAAAACTATCCCTAATTCGGTTCGGTCGATCAAACGTCTTCCTTCTCTTCCGTCTTCTCCTCCATCTCCAGCATTCGCTCCTCTTCTCCAAGGATGGAGTGGACCGAGTCGCGCGTCGCAGGAATGAGCGTAACATCGTGGCGGCGCACGCGATACTCCGGCGAGCCTTCGATCGCTAGGACTACCTCTTCTTTCCGGTCTGCTTCGAGGACAGCCTTTTCTTGAGTTTCGAGTGTTCGGACTTCACCGACTTTTTCTTCGGTCTTTCGGGAGAGCCGTTACAGCAGGCGCAGCCCTTCTTCACGTGGCCGCGCAAGCTTGACCTCCTGGCTCGACAATCGGGCTCGACCAGCGCGATATTTCCGCCCTCGTCGTCCGAAGCTTCGCTCGCCTTGTCGCTGGAGATCATCACCGAATCCTGGATCATTTCGGCGGTGGTCGCTTTGATGCGTTTCGACAGCCCAACACCACCACCGCCTCCGCCAGCACCGCCAACCCCTACGCCTACACCACCGCCTATGCCACCGCCTATGCCACCGCCTATGCCACCGCCTATACCGCCGCCTCCGCCGCCGCCACCACCGCCGCTTTTATGTTCGGCTCGGTTCAGCACCACTCTCGCGTTCACCTGCAGCTTGTCTTTTTTCTTAAGATAACTGCACCGACGTTCGCCACCCACCAGCGACTTTAAGTTCTGAATGTTGTCGTCGAGGCCGTTGCTCAGCGCATTCTCCTCCGGCTGGCTGCCAATTGATTCGCTCACGCTGGAGTCCTCCTCGTCGCTACTGGATCTCGTCCTCTCGGACATCGGGCTTTCCCACGACAGGTAGTCCATCCTCGTTACCTTCGAGGCGATCCGCTTCTTGTTGGTGTAGGTATACTTGTGCGTGGAGAGCATCGGGCCGGCCATCGGTGACAGAGGCGAGGGTATCGTCACGTCGGCCGTGTTCCCGCTGAGCAAGGTCAGGCTCTCGTCCCCGGAGCTTGCCGCGGATGCGTTGTTCACGTTGATCGTCGCTGGAAGCGATTCCGAATCCAGGTCGATGTCCAACTTCATGTTGGACGGGATGCTGGATACGCTGCTCGGCGAACCCTCCTTCGAGCCGTTCCGAGACGCAACCTTCGCCCGGCCTTGCACCTTCGGCGAGTCGTTCTCCAACGAGCCCAAATGCGTCGGCGACAGCCTCGAAATGTCCGAGTTGCTATTCGACGCCTCGTCTTGACTCGAGTTGTCGAGAGTGAGTCGCATGTGCTTCGCCGGGTTCTCGAGGTGCAAGTCTTCCGCCTTGTCTCGCTTCGATCTCTTGGACGAGTCCTTCGAGGATCTGGTTCGCTGGCCGGCGTTCCTCCTGCGCTCGTTGCTAGTCTTGAAATCGCCGACCGGACTGGCGTCTCTGCTGCCGCTCGACGAGTCCAACGACCGGAAGTAAGAACCGCTGTACGACTTCATGCCGAGCGGCTGGCTGCAGGACGCATCCTGCGACGAATGATCGAACGACGGCGAATGGTTCGTGTCGAACAGCAGATCCGCCTCGGGGAACAGATCGCTGGTGCTTGGCTCGTCCACGCCCAGGTCCTCGCACTCTTCCGATAGACTCTTCTGTAGCCTCATCTCGCGTTCGATCGCCGCCGCTTTTCTTTCCATCTTCTGCTGCAACAGTTCCCGGTCCAGCCTCGGATTTAGCGGAGTCTTCATCGCGTTGCTCTTGTTCGTGTACTGCTGAAACGGTTCCAGCGTGTGGTTCATGAAGTACTTTTTAGTGTTCGTCTGGTAAATCTGCCCGCCCGCCATCTCGATCCCCTGGCCTTTGTTGATGATCTGTAGCACGCTCTGCACGTTCTCCGAGTTGTCGGCGTATCGTGAGTTCAGCGGTTCGATGTTTAACGAATTTGTCGAAGTGGGTACGTATCGCCACGGCGTGTCCGGCGACACTTTGCCCTCCGGCTCCCAAGCTTCCTGCAGCCTCGCGTTCCCGTACAGCAGGCCGTTTCCGACGACCTTGCAAGATACGTCGATACCTTCGGCCGACTGTTGCACCGGCGACTCCTGGCTGTCGGAGCTGCTTGGACCACCTGTCACCAAAAACTGGGCTGTGTTGTCGATGCCCCCCGACTGCTTGCTCGTCACTATCGTGGACATGGAATCTGTGCAAGACACGAGTTCTTGTTAATCCCCGGCGATCTTTGCGGATCGCGAGAACGCAAGAACGTAAGAACGCAAGAACGCAAGAACGAGATAACGCGGAATACGCGAAAACGATCTACACAATCGGCTACAAGACAACTCGCTTTTTTACAACTTTCCTACTTGATACTTCGACTACTTACAAAACATAAAGTAAAAGAAGAAAACACTAACCGATCGTCGCGTTATTCTGCAACGAGGTCGCGCCGCTAGAAACGATCGAGTTGGACGCGATCAAGCTTTTCGGTAGGTTCACCGACGACATACCCATAGCGTCGTCGATTTTTCTTTTGACCGTTTTCGGCGAGATGATCTTGCCGCCTGAAATGATGTCCGTCGACGCCACTTCCTTCGCATCTTTCTGTTGTTGCTGGTGCTGGTGTTGGTGGTGTTGATGTTGGTGTTGGTGTTGATGTTGGTGTTGATGTTGGTGTTGCTGTGTGGTGTCGTTCAGCATAGAGACGTCCGACTGGCTTGCGAAAGCGAGAGCGATCGTGGCTCCTGGTTGAATGGCCACGGGCTTGTCGTTGTGAACCTGTTGAAATTTGACTCGTGTTAGAGTGCGACCAGTTCCTCGGCAGCCGGGGACTACGTGAAACGCGTTCGTGCCAACAAACCTGTGTCTCCTGGGGCGGTTTCTTCTCGGGCGTGTGGGCGATGGCTGCCGTGGTCGGCGTCAGGCACACCACATTGTCCGACTTGAGTCCGCCGGACGTCGACAGTTTGTGCATCGACGAATTGAATAGCCTAGCGCTCTGGAGCGTGAGGTTTGGATTGCTGGTGATGACGCCGCAGATCTGCTGACTCTCGGACGCCTCGTTCAGATTCCGTTGTATCAGGCCGATTGCGGAGTTGCTTTTGTTGACGACGATGGCGTTCGTCGGGGCCTCGACGCTTGTCGCGACCGTTGCGACCGTCGAGTCGCTTTTCGCCATGCTGAGGTCTCCGACGATGCCGGTTTTTTCTGTTTCGGAGGCAAAAGAGCTGCCGGTGCCAGTCGTCTGCGGAATCACCACCGAGGCGGCTTGCACGTTCTGCGCGGCAGCCAACGTTTGGTTGCCAGACAAGGTCTGCAGTGTCGGGATCTTCACCTGTTTGACCTGCGTCGGCTGCGAGATGATCTTGCCCGCCTGATTCAGAAAGGACTGGAGGACCAATGTGTTCGAGACGCCCGTGTTCCCGGTAGTTCGAACCGTGGCGGGCACGGTGGCGAGCAGCTTGGAACCGCTGGACACTATCGTGAATTGCTGGGCGCCCTTCATCAGATTCATCGGCAGGATATAGTTGGTGCCTGGGACCAGAACCGCCGTACTGCCCATCTTCCCGGTGACCGAGGCTAGAGCCTCGCTTACGCTCACCGAGCCGGTTTGCACGGCTTCCTGAACGATCACCGCCCTTGGCTGACCGGAACCCGGCTCCGCGAAGATCAGGTTTCGCCTCTTGACGTTCAGCTCGACCCCGTCGTTCGAGTCGTTGGTCAGGTTTCGCACCTCGGCGTTCGCGTCCGTCACGCTGGCGACATTCCCGGTCGGCTCTTCGGGGGGCGGGAACCCGGCAGGGCTGTCCTGCACATGCACCACGCCGCTCGACGAGTCCTCACTGCCCATGGTCCGGCCGAGATCGTCGGTGCTCGGGCTCAGCTCCGAGTTTTGCTGGCCGACCGGCTTCACCTTGTTCGCGCCAGACTTTTTCCGCTTCGAGGATTGGCTGGGGTTTGTCGGTGGATTCGATCTTCTTCTCGGAGCTGGTTTGTTGTTTAAATCCGGCGAATTCCGTAGCTGCTCCGCGTACTCGTCCAAGATGGCGTAGATCCTTTGCGCGGTCTGCTCGTCCTCCTGCGGCTTTTGCTGCGGCTTTGGGATCGGCGAAGCCTTCGACGTGTTGGTCGCGCTTGTCTTCAGAGTTTTCGGCGCCGACTTTTTCACCGTTTTCGCGGACGGCGGTGTGGGTGGTGTCTTCCCAGCGGAAGGTATCGGCGCGGGTGCCGGCGTCACGCACGGACTGGAAGAACTCTGCGAGGTCACGCTTAGGGCAGGCGAAGCGGCGGGTTGACAATAGCTCGTAACCACGACGACGGGCGTCGAGTTCGGGGTTTTCGCGGCTACCGTGCCGGTGCTCTGGTTCACGTACGCCAGCGAGACCTTTTGTGAGAAGATGTCCTGCTGAAAGTTTACGGCGCTACCATTGCTTGCAAAATCGTTGTTGGTCTGCTGTTGTTGCTGCTGTTGCTGCTGTGTGGGCATCAGCAGCTGTTGTGCGAGGGCGCTCACAGAAACCTGTTGCTGTTGCTGTTGTTGTTGTTGCTGCTGCTGTTGTTGTTGCTGCTGCTGTTGTTGCGATTGCGGTTGCTGCTGTTGTTGTTGTTGTTGTGGCTTACTAGCTTGCACGGTCTGTTGCGTGGTGGTTTGCGTCTGCACGGTGGTTGTCGCTGCAGTCGATATCATTTGATGAGTCTGCGGCTGGATCGTGCTTCTCTCCTTGACCTGCTCCAACACGCTCTCGAACTCCCGAAGTTGCTCGAGCGTGGTCGAGCTTACCTGGTTCGGTACTTCAATGGGCGAGCCGATCAGACTCTCCGTTCTCACCGTCGGCGGTTGTTGTTGCTGCGACTGTTGCTGTTGTTGTTGTTGCTGTTGTTGTTGTTGCTGTGTCTGTTGCTGCTGCTGCAACCTCGGCGTCGTTAGAACCGCCTGGATGGCTCCAGTGATGTTCTGCTGACGGAGCGGCGCGGATGTTCGAATGATGTTTAGCTTGACCACGGGTGTCCTGCCGGCCGGTATCGAATTCGCGTGAGATATCGTCGGGATGATATTCAATTGGCTCGGGTTCGTGGTTGATATCGTGACTGGGATTTTGTGCGTGTATATCACCCCCGGCGAGGCGTTCTGGACGTTCTGCACCAACTGCGTAAGCGTCTGATTCGCGGTGTTGGGGCTCGCGGCAACGTTCGTCGTGTTGCTGGCCGTTGAGCTCTGCACGATGTTCAATATTTGCCTGCTGGTGGACAGCTGTAACGCGTTCGGAATGTTAGCGATCGACTGCACGTTGATCCCGGCGGCAGCGTTCGGCTGTTGACTGCTCGGAACCGACGTCTGTACCGCCTTCGACAGATTCGCGGTCTTCTGCGGGGACGCGGCCTGAACGAGTGTCTCAGACGCAGGCCCGGACACCGCACCGGACGTCGCGTCCGTCGACAGGGTGTAGATGGTTTTGCGAAAGGCCTGCTGGAACTTGGGCAAGCCGGCGTTCTGACCGGACTGCGTTGTGTTCGTTTTGGCCGCGGTCAGTCTCTCATATGTGTTTCTAGTCGCGTTCTCCGTGTGTTGGTTCTGTCGCGAGAAACTACCTACACCTCCACCACCGGTGGCGGCGTCCTCCATGTTCTGCAGACTGAGCACATTCCTCTGGCTGGAGACCAGGTTCGGATTCACGGATGCTAGCTGGTAGGTGCCGTCCGGCTTGCAGACGATCTGCAGCTGTTCAGATGCGATCGTCGCCGAGCCGATGGCTGAGCCGATGGTCGAGCTTGCGGTGGTCGTTGTGGTAGTGGTGGTGGTCACCGTTGAACACGGGGATAGGGACTTCTTCGGCGATGACTGGTTCTGCTGATTCCGACGAAGAATCGGCCCGGTCCTCGGACTGGAGTCCGAGTCAAGCTGGCCGGAGACGTTGGCCGAGGAGGCCGGCGAGCCGTCCGGTGGCTGATTGGCCTCTTCGCCGACATCGGGCAGCGCCGAGGACCTGGGTGGCGGGGTCTGGCCTGCCGGGCTCATGCCGACTCCGCTGTCGTGACCCCCCGACGAGGGCGTACCCGGCAGCTGGATGCTGCCCGCGACGCTCGGAGTTCTGTTGGGTCGGGGCGGAGTGTTGCCGCTGTTGACCGAACCCGAGTTCGGGCTCTGTGGAATGTTTCGGGAGAGCTGCACCACGTTCACGGTGGGCCGCATCCGCGGCGGCACCATCATGTCCAACGAATTCATACCCGGCACGTTCTTCGCTAAGATGTCCGAGTCTCGGACAGCTTTTGCCAAAATGTCGAACTTTCTCTTTCCCAGGCCTGACTTTGAGTTTATGCCACGGCCTTCGCTCGCGGCCAGGTCCGACTTGTCCGCGTTCGTCCCGCCGGTTCCCTTCTGCTTCTGATAGGTCGACATCGCGTTCTTGTTTGGAGGGAACGGCATGTTCTTCTGGATGTTCATTAGCTCACTGGTGATGTCCCCGGTACTCAACCGCTGCTGCTTCTTCGAGCGAATTAATCGTCTGTCGATCTCGTCCGCTCGGGTCAGCACGATCTTCGGATTTAGGTTCAGCGTACTGAGCATCGGAGCGAACTTGCTCACGCTGCTCGCGTTGTTGTCCATGTTGTTGTGATCTTTGCTTTTGTTCAACAGGTTTTTTTGCAGTATTTGAGAGATTCTGGTTGGCTTCTTCGTGTTCTGTGGCCTGAACATCCTGAGGGACTTGAGCACCGCGGGATCGCTTCTTCTCTCGGTGATGATCAGCGGAGCGGCGGCCGTGTACGCGGACCCTTTGATCGTCTCCCTCTTGTCCTCGTCCATATCAGCGGAGAACAGGGTGATGATGTCGTTGCTGCTGACGTCGGAGCCGCTCGCGTCCTCGTTGGCGTTGCCATGCCGTACGTTTTCGTTCACCAGCATGTGGAAGTGCGAAACGGACTCGACGGTCAACTTGGTCGACTTGGACCGCTTCTTGCTGGTCTCCTTACCAGCCGGTTTGCTCGACTTCTTCTTCGCTTCTAGCCGACACCCGTCGCTGCCCAAGCTGTCCGTCTGGCTGTCCTGCGTGTTGCTGTCGCTGTCGGAAACGGAGCTATTCCTGAAGTGCTTCAACTTCCGATCGGCGCTGTCGTAATCGCTCTCGGACGATTCCAGCCGATGGATCTTCCTCGCCCTGCTCGCTCGCCTCACCCGCAGCATACTGCCGCTGTCCGAGTCCGTGGTGGTGGTGTCGTCTAAGCTCCTCCTGGTCGAGGACCTCTTGTAAGTGCCGGCTGGCTGGAAGCTGCCAAATTGCTCGGAGTTGTCCGAAGGTAGGTCGACCCATTGCTCGTAGCCCTTCTCGATCCCAAAGAATATGTCCTTGGTGTCGTCCTCCGAGGGCCAGTCCTTGAACTGCGAATAGTCGATGTTGAGATACTTGAGCTCCTTGTTAGTGTTCCTCATCTCTTCGGCGTTCTCCAAGTACCGCTCGCAGAGGCCGTTCAGCTCTTTCCAGTCGAGGACCCAGGTGAGCATGTGGTAACGGGGACTGCTGAGAACCACGGACAGGTCGTCGCAAAGCTGAGGCGACAAGCCGAGCTTCTGCCCGTCGAGCACCTGGTTCGGCACCGATTTCTCGTCGTAGTTTGCGGAACCGGTGACCGCGTCCCCCTTGATCAGGATCAGCGCGTCCAGCGACCTCTCCATGTTCCTGGACGCCGGCTCGCTCACCTCGGAGAGCCCGGACGGCTTGCCGAGAGCTCCGGTACCAGAGATGTCGTTGCCCGTGAACTCGCCGCAGTGGAAGCAGAGCTCGCCTAGCGGCGTGCCAGACAGGGTGTCTCTCTTGGGGTGCAGTGGACACTTGTCGGTCGTCGGGATCCCGGACTCGCCTTTCTTCGCGGTGGTCAGCAGGCTCTTGAGCAGCTGATCGGTCCGCTCGAAGGTCTTGCTGACCTGCCCGTTCTGGAAATCGAGGCCCTTCTTGCTCGTCAAGTCCGTCGCGGTCTCTCCTCTCTTCTCGCCGCCTTCGGTCTCGATCTCAGCCTCGGTTCCAGGCCCGGTCGCAGTCCCATTAGAATGATGGCCGTCCAACGCGTACTTCAGTTTGTCGACACCCTCGCCAGACTTTGGCCTGTCCTCCTTCGTTTTCCCGCACGCCACCGCGATATCCTTGATCCTGTCGTAGCAGGTCCTAGTCGGGTGCAACGAGAACGCCGTCAACACACACTCCCTAGCGATCCCGATGTTGCTACCGACCACGTCGGCCAGCTTCAAGAACTGCGTGCTCAACCGCTTCGCCGTCTCGCGGACCTTGTCCTTGTCCGACTTCGCCTTCTGACTCTCCAGCTCATTCATGTCCGTCGTCAACGCTCTTATATACAGCTCGATCACCAGGGGTTTTATGCTGTCGCCAAACTGCAAACGAAACATCGTTTTAAGAAGGGTTCGATCGTCGGTCGAGGATCAAGGGCTGCTACGAGGGTTCCCAAGGAAACTCTCGGAGCGTCCCTCGTTCTCGTTCAGGTTCATTCAGTCGACGGGAAGACTCACGTGTTTCGCGAGTACCGCGCAGAAGATATAAATGTGCTGAGCGCTCTCGGCGGGTTCGATCAATTTCCGTATCATCCCCGGCAACGTGGAGGCGACGTCCTTCAATTTCGAGTGCAACGACGCCCAGGAGTTCAGGATCTGCTCGAGAATGTTCGCGCCCGTCTCCGGCACGGGCCGCACCATCCCCGCGGTAACAAGATATTGTGCAACCAATTCGGCAGCCTTTATCGAATTCCTCCAAACTCGCGCGGTCCCATATTTCGTCGGTTTTTCGCCGCTGAGCCTCTGGACCAATTCCAGGCCGTCGCTAAGATCCATTAATTTTAACTGGAAAGAATCGGTCTTATTAGAACTGGGAAACTAACTCCGCAGTTTCTATTCGATCTGTGTGTGTTGTTGCGGTAGCGTCTCGATAACCGTAACCCACCCGTTTTGACCCCGGCGTATCTCTTACGACCTGTTATACCGATTTCTAGTGCGTGACATGGACATTGCCGAAATTATCGAGACGTTACCGTAACACGATTCCGCGGAACGAACGATAGCGACTGTGGACAGCCACAGGGGGCCATCGACCAAGTCGAAGCAGATGCCGAACAGCCCCGGCTTTCTTCTTTCTTTCATTCTTTCTCTTTCTCTTTCTCTCTCTCTCTCTCTCTCTCTCTCTCTCTCTCTCTCCCGTCTTGCTCTCTCCGGCGGTACTCACTTGAGCGAATATATCTTGCGTGCGTTTCAATTTATACAATAGAACGATATAGACGTCGATCATGTAATGAACGTGATGAGAATCCGAGACCGAGCGCAGCCGATCGCTTTGCCGCAGGGAACGTACGCAAGCGGCGGCGAGGTTCACCGCTATGTCCTCGCAGCGGTCCTCGCAAAGTATTTTCAGCCTCATCGTTAACAATTCGCCTTTCTCCGAACAGCAGAATTCTGGAAAATTCGAAAAGATCATTCGTTCGTGAGACTCGCTCATATCGGTGTGTCCGAAACGTTCGTCGCGTTTGCATGATTTCTTAGTTTTCGAATTGCGCTAAATTCTCCCAAATTGTCCCTCAGCTTGGAAACAAAAATGGACAACTTGGGAAGACGAGATACGATTATTCGAGCCTCGCGGCTCTCGTTCTTACAGTTGCCGATTATCAGCAACTGTAAAAGACGTGCCGCGAATAATCGTATCTCCTCTTCTCAAAGTGTCCGTTTTCTGTTTCCAAGCGCTGAGGGACAATTTGGGAGAATTTAGCGCAGTTTTGAGGATCGAACGTTTCGTCCTTGACAATCGTAATTCGAGATGCACACGGTACCCTCTTCATGTTCGGAATCCGGTTGGCCGTTAAGTATGCTGTCGAGTGCGGGATGAGTCCATGGATTGTGCACCAGAGCTATCAGGGCAGTGCACCTGGGTGCAGCGGGGTGTTGCACCAGGTGAGACGCGCACCTCTGTAATGTTACGCTGAGGTGCGTCTTTGTCGCGGGTGACAACTTTGGCCACTCCCCGCGCAGAACCAATTTCAACGTGTGTCTGCAACAAATCGATCCAAAAATGTGTATCAACGTTCTCGTTCGACGCGAGGCGAGGCGACGCGATATAACGACGATTCAACCTGCCTCGCCGGATAATTAACTCGTCGATCGCGAGTACCTATTTCTATTTATTCTCCGACGAACGCGGGCACGACGCGAGCAGATTTATTCCACCGAGAATAACGTTACGACAAGATACGACACGATACGATACAGAGAAATGGAAATTGATTCCAAGATGCGATTAAACGCGTGCTTACTTTACGTGTATCGGGGTATTCCTGTCCTCGGTTAAAGGGGGACACCATCCTAACGGTTCTAAAAAAGAATCTATTTTTTCTTTTTGATTTTTTTCAAGATTCAAATGTGTGGAATGTTACGTTAACGCGATATTTCGAAGTTCGAACACTTAGTGATTGAAGGCCAAATTTTAAAAATCGTGTTTTATCAGAGTGAGAAGTTATCTTAAAAATTGTTCAAATTTTATGGAGATTTTATAAGCATTTAAAGTTGATTGTTCGGGATAAAGAAGCTGCTTTTTCTTCAAACTAGTTTATGTATTAACAAAATAACTTTAATTCAGACTTTGGAAACAACGAATAACTTCACAATATTGTACGATCTTTACTTTTGAAGATTCGGAAAACAAAGCTGAAAGTTACATTCGTATCCTCTTAGAAAGACTAAATCTTTCATTTAGTAATTAACTAGACAGCGGATTTTTATGCAAAATAGACATTGTTTACATGAACTGCAAGGAATAGAGACTAAATAACAGAAGTTCATTCTTTCATTAATCCTTTTAATAGATAAAAAATAATAGATCGACATTTTTAAATTATATAATATTTTAATCTGTATAANCTCTCTCTCTCTCTCTCTCTCTCTCTCTCCCGTCTTGCTCTCTCCGGCGGTACTCACTTGAGCGAATATATCTTGCGTGCGTTTCAATTTATACAATAGAACGATATAGACGTCGATCATGTAATGAACGTGATGAGAATCCGAGACCGAGCGCAGCCGATCGCTTTGCCGCAGGGAACGTACGCAAGCGGCGGCGAGGTTCACCGCTATGTCCTCGCAGCGGTCCTCGCAAAGTATTTTCAGCCTCATCGTTAACAATTCGCCTTTCTCCGAACAGCAGAATTCTGGAAAATTCGAAAAGATCATTCGTTCGTGAGACTCGCTCATATCGGTGTGTCCGAAACGTTCGTCGCGTTTGCATGATTTCTTAGTTTTCGAATTGCGCTAAATTCTCCCAAATTGTCCCTCAGCTTGGAAACAAAAATGGACAACTTGGGAAGACGAGATACGATTATTCGAGCCTCGCGGCTCTCGTTCTTACAGTTGCCGATTATCAGCAACTGTAAAAGACGTGCCGCGAATAATCGTATCTCCTCTTCTCAAAGTGTCCGTTTTCTGTTTCCAAGCGCTGAGGGACAATTTGGGAGAATTTAGCGCAGTTTTGAGGATCGAACGTTTCGTCCTTGACAATCGTAATTCGAGATGCACACGGTACCCTCTTCATGTTCGGAATCCGGTTGGCCGTTAAGTATGCTGTCGAGTGCGGGATGAGTCCATGGATTGTGCACCAGAGCTATCAGGGCAGTGCACCTGGGTGCAGCGGGGTGTTGCACCAGGTGAGACGCGCACCTCTGTAATGTTACGCTGAGGTGCGTCTTTGTCGCGGGTGACAACTTTGGCCACTCCCCGCGCAGAACCAATTTCAACGTGTGTCTGCAACAAATCGATCCAAAAATGTGTATCAACGTTCTCGTTCGACGCGAGGCGAGGCGACGCGATATAACGACGATTCAACCTGCCTCGCCGGATAATTAACTCGTCGATCGCGAGTACCTATTTCTATTTATTCTCCGACGAACGCGGGCACGACGCGAGCAGATTTATTCCACCGAGAATAACGTTACGACAAGATACGACACGATACGATACAGAGAAATGGAAATTGATTCCAAGATGCGATTAAACGCGTGCTTACTTTACGTGTATCGGGGTATTCCTGTCCTCGGTTAAAGGGGGACACCATCCTAACGGTTCTAAAAAAGAATCTATTTTTTCTTTTTGATTTTTTTCAAGATTCAAATGTGTGGAATGTTACGTTAACGCGATATTTCGAAGTTCGAACACTTAGTGATTGAAGGCCAAATTTTAAAAATCGTGTTTTATCAGAGTGAGAAGTTATCTTAAAAATTGTTCAAATTTTATGGAGATTTTATAAGCATTTAAAGTTGATTGTTCGGGATAAAGAAGCTGCTTTTTCTTCAAACTAGTTTATGTATTAACAAAATAACTTTAATTCAGACTTTGGAAACAACGAATAACTTCACAATATTGTACGATCTTTACTTTTGAAGATTCGGAAAACAAAGCTGAAAGTTACATTCGTATCCTCTTAGAAAGACTAAATCTTTCATTTAGTAATTAACTAGACAGCGGATTTTTATGCAAAATAGACATTGTTTACATGAACTGCAAGGAATAGAGACTAAATAACAGAAGTTCATTCTTTCATTAATCCTTTTAATAGATAAAAAATAATAGATCGACATTTTTAAATTATATAATATTTTAATCTGTATAATATCTTAAATGATAACTATCCAATTTCGACATAAATGCATAAAATCCTCAGAGTTCAGTAATTACCAACAACAAAAAGTTCCCTAATTTTACCTCTTTCTTAACGCCTTAGGGTGGTGTCCCACCTCGATCGACACGATGACTCGAAGACAGAAGGGTTTCTTCTGCCTTCTATGCTTTAACCCGAAGCAGTCTTTGCGACGAAAATAAAGAAACAAGACGAGCGTCTTGCGATTTTGTGTAAACGCGACGTAAACATGAACGCGGACGCGAACAAATCGAAGAATCGGCTTGCCGCGTGATTGCTCGAACGCGAAGAATAACAACGGAGCAGGAGGAGCGGGAGGAGAAAGGGGTGGGCGAGGAGGGACAGAGGACGATAGAATCCCGGACAGGAGGATAATTGCGTTGGTTGTTCGATGATACGGGAGAAACGTCGATCGACGCTAGTACTCACTTGTGAGCCCATTCTATGAGAGACTGGGTGGCCTCTGGCGTTGCCCCAGGAATGAAATTGGTGACATGCTCCCAGGCGGACAGAAGTGCATTCACCTTGTCGCCGTACTTCTTTTTGCTGTCACTCAATGTCGCTTCAAGCCCCTGGAAAAGCGTACGGTGAATCGGTGAGCAGTCGATTAAATACAAATAAAAGGGTCGCCGAGCGTTTGCACGAGAGCACAAGACCCTGCTTCGTTCTGCTTCGTCCTGCATCACCCTGACGGCACTACCGTTCGCGATGCTTTCGCAGGAAAAGTACTTCGAGCAGCCCTAGCGGGATGCGAACCGACCCGCTTCAAGGTTTCCTTAAACTACTTCCACGATTCGCAGAGCCAAGTCCTTTACCTTCCTCGGACCCTTTCTCTCTCTCCCTCTCTTTCTCCTTCTCGCTTGCAACCTTTACCTGGCTTTTCACGAAGGCTACAAGAGAAATTTCTGATTCGTTAGAAAATAAAAATCCCGAACCGGGTCATTTCGTTTTCCGCCAATGCAATAAATCCTCCCCAATTGTCGCTCAGCTTGCAAACAAGATTGGACAGCTAGGGAAGAGGGGATACGATTATTCGAACCTCCTTTTCCTACATTATTCATTTTGTTCCCAAGCTGACCGTCAATTAGGGAGAATTTGCTGTAGTTCCAGCGTTAAAGACCCGAAGAGAAGCGATGTCGAAGACGAAGAGAAAAAAAGAGGGAGAGAGAGAAACGAAGCTCCGAGGAGGAAAGCTTTGAGAATCGTGCTTTCAGTCCCCTTCGCAACTAGACCAGTCGACGAGAGCTTGCCCGAAGGAATGTTCGGCGAAAGGAAGAGGGAAAAGGCGGAGAATGGTTTCCGGCCAGCAGTAGTCAGCAGTAGCAAGCAACGGCCGGCCAAAAGATCCTGGGAGTCGATAATACTTTGGAAAACCGGTCCCGGCAAACCTGACCCGTGATATCGACGCGTAAAAAAACAACATTCCCATGTAGCCAACGCAGCTTCCGGTGCAATACTTAAATACTTAGGCGGCCAAGTGTTCCGGAAGTTTTGCCTCGATTAGCCTTGGCTAGGCTCGACGATTCTTTCCTTCTTGCTCGATGGTCGAGCCGTTGAAATAGCACGGGAAACACAGCCTCTCTGTTCGAGCATCGAGCGCAGAAATAATTAGCGACCGCGGACTGGCGCTATCAATCCTCGAGAAGAATAGAAGCGAACGGGAGAACAGAAGAAAAGAAATTGATCCGTTCCGGTCGAGCCGCGGACATTGGACACGCGGAATCGACGTCGTTCCATATCATTTTCGCATCAATTATTTCACAGATTTCCGTCAAGGTTTGCGGCAATCCGACATACACGTGGAAGTACGAAACCGGGAGAAGGATAAGACAGTGAAAAAATCCTGATCGAGAAAGAAGGCACGCGATTCAGTATACAGCAATGTCTCTCTTACCGACGCTCAGATTGCGCAGAAAAATGGACAATTTGGGCAGAGGAGATGCGATTGATCAAGCCTTTTGAGCGAGCCAAAAACGAGCCAAAAGGCTCGAATAATTGTATCTTCTCTTCCCGAATTGTCCATTTTTCTGGACAATCCGAGCGTCAATTAGAGAGACATTACTGTACAGTAATAATCGTATCTGCATTACTGTACAGTAATGTCTCCCTTACTGACGCTCAGGTTGTGTACAGAAATGGACAATTTGAGAAGAGCAGATACGATTATTCGAGCCTCGCGGCTCGTTTTTATAATTGTGGACAATTTATAACTATAAAAATAAACCGCAAGGCTCGAATATTCGTATCTCCGCTTCCTAAATTGTCCATTTTTGTGGTCAATCTGGGCGTCAATTACTGTACAGTAATGTCTCCCTTACCGACGCTCAGGTTGCGTACAGAAATGGACAATTTTTGAAGAGGAGTTACGATTATCCGAGCCTTGCGACTCCTTTTTATAATCGTTGACAACTTATAACTATAAAAACAAAGCACAAGGCTCGAACAATCGTATCTCCGCTTCCCAAATTGTCCATATTTGTGGACAACCTGAGCGTCGGTAATGGAGACATTACTATACATAGTTCGTCAACGAAAGGCAAACGCGGTCAGGATATTGAAAAAAAGTGAGTTATCGTTGCAAGTGTCCGGAGTTCGGTATCGGAAATAAATGGCCGCGGACTCGGGGAAGTTGCTTGGTCTTCCGAGGATTAATCTCGGATCGGTTGGGTCTCCGGAGGACCACGAGGGGCTCCTCTCTCTCCGTTCGAGGCGCGGTCTGTCCGCCTGTCCAATTGGTACGATAACGTATCTCCGGTGACTGTTATCGACGCGCGAGAAATTAGGTCTTGCCGGTCCGTACCTTTGACCCGCGAAAAACCTCTAACAGGATGAGAAAGCGGCGCGCGGAATCGGTCGGAACTCGCGCGCAAACATCGGGGCGGAAGAGCCCGCGAAAAGCGAAACGAGAAACGAGAAACGCGAAATGCGAAACACAACGGCCGCCGGAATTCGGTTCAATATCGGAAGGAAATTGACAGAATTTCCGCGTAACGCTGACGCGAGCGCGCGAGCGGGCGGGCGGGCTCGCATTATTGAAACGTTGGAATTTATGAGTTAATATCGGAAATCCTTCACGCGCGACGTATCGAATTTCGGCCTCGGCTCCGAGGCAACCCGTCGGCCGACTACTCCTTGTCTTCTTTTTTTCTCCCCCTACGCTTCGTACCTCGGTACGAACTGAAAATCGGGAAAACTCCGAAATCGAGGCCGACGGTATTCCCCGCCGACCATGGTAGGGGCCACCGAGAATCGTTTTCGGATTTTAGCGAATCTTTCGGTCCATTGAAATTCGCGAACCGCGAGATCGAGGGACGAGCGAGCGGCGTCTGCGAAGAAGGAGCCCTAGAAACGGAGAAGAAAACGAACCGATAGGGTAGCCGGGGCAGAGATTTTTCCCCGTGAAAATAGGATGGCGATGGGGGTGGGTGAGGGGGGAGGCGGTTTGCTCGCGTAACTTGCAAATGGGGAAAGTTACGCGAAACTGTAATTTAGAGATTGGGGAGATTCGTGCAAGTAACAGACTCTCGTGTTTTTCCGGGGCGAAACTTTTTCTCCGGGGCGAGTCGAATTTTTGTACCGGCTAACGGTACAAATTCTACCGATTTCTCTCTCTCTCTCTCTCTCTCTCTCTCTCTCTCTCTCTCGCTCTTCCGCGTTCCCAGCGGAGATAATTGATTCCGGCCCAACGTAAGCGCCAGGAACTCGCGTTATTTTCCGGCAGAGGTGTTCCGATGCTCGAACATTCAAGTAATCGCGATTCGAGGCGAGTCGCGGACACGGTTTCCGATGCGATCCGAATACTCGACTAAACCGATCGATCGAATAAACCCCGAGTACGTACACGAAAGAAACCGAGTCGCTCCGACAGGAACGAGTGGCTCGAATGAATCGAGCGGTTCGAAAGAAACTGAACACTTCGAAGAGCTCCGAATGATCGAAGTCTGCAGTTTACGGCGCTCATTTCCGTATAGATCACACATACACACAGTGTACGTGTTCATACATCCTAAGATACAAAAACCGATTAATTTAAGAACAGATTGTTGAAGCACCGCGCATGTATTATTATATATGAAAAGAATGTTTCGATAAAAGTTGTTCGATATGAAGTAGGACATGAAATAGTGCACTCAGTTATCTTATGCATTAACTTCTTAAGATGTTATTATATAATACATATATGTAATAATGATAACGGTATCAATAAAAGTATGTGCAGATAATAAACGCAGACTTTGATCATTAAGAGCTCTTCGGAGTGTTCAGTTTCTTTCAATTTCTCTTCCCTTTCTCGATTCTTTCAAGCTTCCCGGTTCCGTTAGGATGTGCTCGATTTCTTTCCAATATTCGATTCCATCCGGGCGACTAGGTCTTTTCGAGTATTCGGTTTAATCGAAATATTCGAGTCGAGCATATCCTCAATAATAAATATAATAATAATAAATATCAATAATAAATATCAAATATATCAATAATAAATAAATAAATATATATAATATCAATAATATAATAATAATAAATATCAATAATAAATATAATAATAATAAGATAATTTTCAAGGAAGATTTCATTTTCTCGAGTTTTCGCACGGCTCTAATTTCCAGCGGAGAAGCTCTCGTTATCGCGTTTCGAGGTCCGGGACCGACCGCGAAAATATAACGGAATAATTGCTGGACATATCCGGAAAGGCCTCCGTAATGTCCCGTCGAATACGCGTGGGGTATGACGTTTATTGCGCGCTTGAATCATCAGTTTAACCCACACATCGGGAAACCTGTTCGCGCGCGGACGTGTTTGATAACGAACGAATCGAAATTGATAAACGGGGAAAACAGCTCGCCGAGTGGACGATGGGAGCCGAGTCGGTTTTTCCCTCGCAACGCTGTGCCATCTTTCCATTTGTCGCGCGTTTCAACAACTTCTCGACAACGTGTTTGCCTTTTCTTCGAAAAAGCAAAAAGGAACGACGGCACCGCGTATATATGTAGTTTGCCGGAAATCGGTGGGCGTCGCGGGCGCACGACTGTTCCGCGTCGGATGAAATATGGAGTTGTTGGGGAATGATTATCTCGTGTTCCTCTATCGGGCTCGGTTGCGGTAGATTCAAAGGCGCGATAAGGTCGGCCGAATGGTTGTACGGTTCGAAGAATGGAAAGCTCTGCCGGGGATACAAGAGGAGGAAGAAGAGCAGCAGTATAAAGGGTCTCTTCCAATTAGAGGTTTCATTTTGTATAACTCGTTATTTTGCCGTCCGTCGAACAATTTGTTGTCACGTTTCGACAGTTGACAAGCGAAAACTACGGATACGTGAATAAAAAATGGAACGTTACGTGCTCCAACAACGCGTCGAAGTTGTTCAAATTCTGTACAAAAACAGTGAAAATTACGCTGGCCATTTGGCCGACAATGCTTTCATTGTTAACACGTTAAGCGCCAAAAGCCTGTTGTTTTGTCTTCCTTTCCGTTCAGCCCGGGGTATAACGTTCTGTAAATCCTGCTTTAATAATACTCGTTAAGATTTTCTTTGGTAACGAGTAATAACCAGGTACACTCATTCGTGATGAGTGAATTTATTCAAGAATTTATTTACAGAGAAGGATATAATTCATTTTAATCCTTTGCACTCGAAGCTATTTTAACCGTAAACATAAAATAATTTCTCTGACTTATAGTTGTGGGCCGTAGCATCGCTCGCCACTGCTCATCCGCTACCTGAGCGCGGCCAATCAAACGTTTGCCTTCCTAATCCTCTCTCGTAAGCTTTTCCTTTACGACAGCCCTAATAAACACCGAATGTGCGTCAGAACACCCGTCCTTCGCTAATCCTCAAAAACCCTCTTGAAACTGCTCCCAATAAAACAATTATCCGAACCTTCGCACACCTCGACTCGCACAGACCTTTCCTTTCTCCCCCCCACCACACACACACACATCCAAGAGAATTTCATCTTTTCCTTTCTTAAGACTGTCCTCGCAAACGCTACAGAAAAAGGCATCTCCGCGAAGGTCGAGTCAGTCACCCCAGTCGGTTCGGTCAGTTCCAAAAACTCTGTACACCTCCACACTACGTTAGCCGCGCCCGTGCACGCTCATAGACAGGAACAAACACTATGACTAAAGAGAAAACATTGTGATTCACTTCCATTCCCCACTAAATAGTATTTCCATTTTATATGACAAAGTGCATTTTATGCGTATGAAATTGAGTCTTGTGGCGACGACTCGTACAACAGTTGCACTTTTAACAATTTCTTAAATGTAAGCTTTGTTAACCCTTAGAGCTCTCTGGACGCATATATGCGTTTGGCGTAAGTCATCCGTGTAGCCTAAGGCCGCATTTATGTTTTCTCTAAATCATCGGCCTGGACTAAGGGCGCATATATGCGTTTGTCGATTTTTTCAATCAATATGCAGTTATTTTCGTGTAAAATTAATACAGGAGCACTCGTATCGGTCTATGTATTGATAATTGTTTTGAAATTTTTCACACACAATTAAATGATTAATTCCTGTGTGTTGTAAATATCAAATTAAGTTTTTTAGTTGATTGTAAAATTTAATGTTTTAAATTGTTAATGTTTATATAATGCATAATTTTAATTATTTAACCTTCTGCAAAAGAATCACTATAATTTATTACTGTTTGCGCCTTGAATAGTCACTTCAGTGTGGCAAAAAAGTATTCCGCCCCCAGCGATGGTCAGCGATAGCCGCGCTCCGTCCCTACGAACCGTTTCGGCCAGGAGTATTCAGAGCTCAAAAGGTTAATATAAAAATTATCTTGGAATATGATATAACAATTTTTTTTAGTAGTGCCTCAGAGTTACTACTCGAGTGCAAAGGGTTAATTCTGTATCGTCAGCCACCGTTGATTAACGAAGTCCGACAGAAAATACAGTGTCAGTCACCGTTGACTGATTGATAGGGCGCTTAACGTTTTAACGACAAATCTTTCTCCATCGATAAAGAGATAAAAACAATACGATATTTCATGAAAAGAAAATACGCGTATTAGTTGGGGGTAAATCAAAATGAAAGCTCCGGTTGGAGAAGCCTGTGTGGTTCGCTAAAGTAATAAAAGTAACGGGAAGAAATGAACCTGTGTCCTCACCACGCACGACTTTTGGATGTGCGAAGACATTCAGAGGGGTGGTCGAGCTGATCGGCGATACAGCAGCAGTGGTACTGTCGAGATTCCGAAGAGGGACGATTTCCGTAGAAGCGTCTTGTTTGGGAACGGTGGCCGTTCGGGTCGGTTCGAGTCGCTTCGAATCGTTTCGAATCGGTTCGGATAGGATCGAGGCGCCGAGCGCCGGGCAACGAGGAGGAGCGACGAGAGGTTCCCGTTGACACGGGTCGTTGTCGGTAGCGGCAACGATGTTCCTCTCGCTCGGCTGCGTTCGGGTGACGGCGAAGTGGCAGGGGTGGGGGCAGGGCTCGTAGCGGACATCAGCGACCTTCGCAGCCCCGGGGTTCGATCCTGAATTGGCCGAGTTGCCGGAAGAAGATCGCGAGACGACAACGACGACAACGACGATGCCCTCCTCCTCCTCCACCTCCTTCTTCTTCTTCTGAAAGCGTAGCGGCAACGGCAGCCTCGAGACTCGCTTCCGTCGTTTCCGTCCCTTCCTCCTCTTTGCCTTTCCTTCTTCCTCTTCCTCGGCCCCTTGCTCGACCTCGTCCTCGCCCTCGTCTCGGTCCCACCGGTCTTTTCTTGCTTTCCGCTTCCTCCTTCTCTTCTCTTCGCTTTCGTGCCCTTTCTCTTTCCCTTTCCCTTTCCCTTTCCCGTTCCCGATCCCGTTCTCTTCCTCTCCTACCCGGCCGAATCGTACGGTGTTTTCTCCGCCGTTTCTGTTCCGTTCGGTTACCGACGGTCGCCGTTCCTCTTCTCTCCTCCAGGCTGACCGCGGTGGCTGACCAGGCTTCTCCTCGCCTCCCCTCTCCACCTCTCCTCTCGCGTGTTTCACTATTCCGTCCGCTTCTTCTGCTCGTTCGCGTCCGTGCCTCTCTCCGGGTGGTCTCAGCGAACCGGGACGAGCCGACCACTACCAAACGAACGCCAGCGTTTGTTGTCCCGCTACCATCTGCAATGCAAAACAACCAACGTCTCAAATCGTTTCCACTCTCCTTCGACATGGCACGCATGCATCCAACCCTTTGCTTCTCTCTCTCTCTCTCTCTTTCTCTTTCTCTGCGCGTTCTCTACGTTCTACACATTCTATACGGCAGGGGCGGCCAAAGCGTCGACCGCGTAACTATTCCTAGTTGCCCGCCGCCTGTCTGATATTATCTATGTTTATTTTAGATTTAAGCTTATCTACGGCTTCAAGTTACAGTAATGTCTCCCTTACTGACGCTCAGGTTGTGCACAAAAATGGGCAATTTGGGAAGAGGGGATACGATTGTTCGAGCCTTGCAACTCGTTTTTATAGTCGTTGACAATCGATAACCGTAAAAAAAGAGCCACAAGGCTCGAACAATCGTATCTCCTTTTCCAAAATTGTCCTTTTTTTGGGACAATCTGAGCGTCAATTAGGGAGACATTACTGTACAGTAATTGACGCCCAGATTGACCACAAAAATGGACAATTTGGGAAGCGGAGATACGATTATTCGAGCCTTGCGGTTTATTTTTATAGTTATAAATTGTCTACAATTATATAAAAATGAGCCGCAAGGCTCGAACAATCGTATCTCCGTTTCCAAATTTGTCCATTTTTGTGGACAATCCGAGCGTCAATTAGGGAGACACTACTGTACTACCTTTTTTACGATCGCTTAACACATACCATGTTAGCAGACCGCCGTCTATAATTTCAAAAAACAGGTCGCCGGTAGTGATCGAAAGTTTGGCCACCTCTATACGGTCTCCACGCTCTCAAAAGTTCCTCGACCGATCTATCTTCGCGGGATCCGACAACGGATACAAAAACAAACTGAAGAAAGATTTAGCGCGGTCGACCCATTTCCAAGGACATTTCACTTCGAGCGACAAATTAGACATTTTTACTTCATTCCGTCATTCGAAGCGGGCTGTGCGTTTGTTCTGTTATTGCAAAAATGGGGAGGGGAGTACATTTAACCCTTAGCGCTCCGTTGGCTCTGCTATGGAGACATCCGTCATTTGCTCCATAAATCCGAAGGCTCTGCCGCGGAGCCCAGAGTTTTTAGCATGATTACGCTGAAGATGCTATGCTTTTGTCGAAACATTCTATGTTTTGGCAATTGTTGTTTGTAATGAAATTAATGAAAACGTGCTTAGCGTGTGTACCAATACGATTAAAACATTTTTTGCCCATTTTTATACTTAGCGACATAAAATGAATAAAATCGAACGCTTTCACAAGCACGTGTAATCTTTTCCGCTCAAAATAAGACTTGCTTTATCTCAGGCGCGTTGCTCCAAAAATGTGCCGGAGTTGCTGGTAGGTAGTACTCGAGAAACGCGTGGAGCGCCAAGGGTTAAATAAATTAAATTATGTTCAAACGAAACCGCGGCAACGACACTCTTCACTGACGCTCTGTCATTCAAGCTTAGCTGTATTTTTGCTTGTGTGTTTGTTCTCTAAAAAGTGGACGTTTATTATTATTATTATTATATAATTATATAGTTATTATTATTATTATATAATTATATAGTTATTATTATTATTATATAATTATATAGTTATTATTATTATTATATAATTATATAGTTATTATTATTATTATATATTCAATTGTAATTAAAATCGACAGCGACAGAAACTCTGGCTCTGTCGACGCGATCAAATCTCGGATAAAATTCTCGGCGACGAACCGTGAGTTCGATCCCTCCGAAGCTCGTAAAAATCGAAATATCGCGGGATATCCCATCCTAGACGAGGGCGAAGGATTACTTTCGCGGGATCCGAACGAGAGGACGCGACGCGTGCCTCAAAATTCCTTTCCGGTCGAACTGACAGCCAATTAAAGCGATAACGTAAGCGTCGATGGCACGGGCTGGCCGGAAGTAAAGAGGATTAAACGCGGGGAAACGCGGTTCCCACTGATTGTTAGCTTCCGATAGGAAGAGTTGCCGCTACAGTTGTCGCTGCCACGACCATAGCCGCGGCTCGTCCTGCCCGTAGGATCCTCTCCGGCGCTCCGCTTTTTTCCACAGCCACGAGCAATTGCGACACGACCTCTAAAGGTCCCGATTTATTCCAGGACTCTCCTAATTGCTTTCCACCCCGGCGGAAATTGTTTTTGCGGCCAGCACACCGGAGCTGGCTAGGCGAAAATGCGGTTCTTTTGCGAGCCAAGGAACCGTTTCTAAATAAGATTGTTTTCTTCCGGCGAAATATTTGCAGCGACGCGGCGCGCCTCCGTCATTCGACCGCTTAATCGTTCCAATCTCCTTGAAAAGTGTGCAAATTACTGTAATTATACCGTGTAAGTAACGACATTCTTCATGTTCCGTTGGAATGCAACACTTTTGCGAAGTATATAATTTAACACGTTACTATACGCGGGACAGGTACAGGAAATTCTCCCTAATTTTCCTTCATCTTGTAAACGAAAATGGACAGTTTGGGATGGGGAGATAAGATTATTCGAGCCTCGCGCGCTCATTTTTATGGTTGCCGATTGTCAGCAATTATAAAAACTTCCTTTTCCAAAATTGTCCACTTTTCGTTTACAGACCGAAGGAAGATTAGGGAGAATTTATTGCATTAGTAGCTTTCCAAAAATCCTCGTTATATACTTGTTATCAAAATCTTAATGTTAGTTTCGAAAATATTAAATATTTTCTGAAAAGTGAATTTTTTTACTGGTTTTCTCCCTTCGAACGTGTAAGTAAAGCTGGATCTGTGATCGCACAAAATGTGTTAATAAAAAATATCAAAGTGATAATGTCCTTCTTAACTCCACAACTATTACCGCTACTAATTACTTATTCCATCTGCGGTGATAATATATTTGTAAGAAAAATTGAGGAAGAATTTACTGTATTAGTAGCTTTCCAAAAATTCTCGTTATATACTTGTTATCAAAATCTTAGTGTTAGTTTTGAAAATATTAAATATTTTCTGAAAAGTGAATTTTTTTACTGGTTTCCTCCCTTCGAACGTGTAAGTAAAGCTGGATCTGTGATCGATAATACATTTGTAATAATGGTGATAATACATTTGTAAGAAAAATTGTAAAATTATAAAAAAGAGAAACGTTTTTGGTACACTTGGTTCTGCACAGTCGACCCATTTCTTATTGGCGTGCAATATAAAAACAATTGATCACGATTTGTTATTTAACACTTTTATGTGAATAATAACGCAATAAACATTAGCAGCGGTTTATGAGACAGCCGATGGCGATTACGCAAGTTTTAATCGGTGTAGTAGTTAAGGGTTAACCGGTTCGCTGTATGTATCTGACGTGTATCAAAAACAGATAACTGGTTAATCATTGGATGCACTAACATTGCAAATCCGAGCGAAACTTCGCGGCATCTTCAAAAGAAGCTGGCCAGAATTTTCGATTCCCGAAATTTTCCTATGGTAAACGAATTCCAACTGGCCGGCGGTACGTACTTCCAGCAACGATAATCGATGATCGGCACGGAATTACGGAAGTTCGCGAGAAGTTGGACGTATCGCGGCGATCGGGTTCGTTTAATCGGCCCAATCGATCGTGTATCGTGTATCGCGTATCGTGAAATCGTAGCTCCGAGCGGCGCGGCGATAGTCGAAGCTAACGCGAACGGAGTTCGAGGAACGCAACGGAACGCAACGACGGAGGCAATGCGATCGCGCGTCGTCGTCGGGCATCGCACAATGGAACGAATCACCTATTTTCTTGGGCATCATCGGCGAAAATCGATTGTCGAAAATTTGTGCCACAGCATCATTAAATCCTTAACCTCTCGTCGTACTTTAACGAGTCAGACTCGTTTCTTATAATTTCTATTAATATCTTCTATTAATATCTTTCTATTAATATATATTAATTTCTAGTAATATTCTATTAAATACCAATGTTATTTTCCGTTTTTTTTTAAAGCCGGAGTAAAATTCTGTCCTCTTGTGGTCAATATTTTAATCATCCAAGTAAATATAGACGCACGATAAATATAAATTTTCTTTCTTTTTCGAAGAAATTATTACAATCGAAAATGTGCTTATCATTTTAATTATGAAGAAAATGGTACGGCAAGGGGTAAACAAGT